AGCTTCAAAAAGATGTGCTGTACTACATGTACTGTAGATCTTATCAGCCGGGAACACTTCGAAAATATACTATAACGAATTAAAGAATTGACTGTCTTAAACAAATTTATTTTAACAATACTTCACTATCACAACTAATTTATTTACACCACTCAGTAACTAACGCTTAATTTATCTTCACCGTTTGTTAACCGCTCGATTCGCTTTCTTGGTACAGACTACTCTTCGGGACGAATAACAACGTTTTTATATCGTCAACGAACGTTCCGGATCCCTCTGCGGATTTCGGGACCCNATACTCAGTGTGGTTGAAATCGAACGTCATTGATTGAGTTTGCAATTTTCTCTTATTTCTTCACTCCTATGGGAAACGTAACTCGATGTTTTAATATTTCCATTTCTGATCAATTGAATAACTGTCTTTGAATCCAACCTAAAACAAGTTTCATCTACACGCTTAGTGTGTAGCAAATAATGTTGCTTGAAGCTCCAAATTCGAAATGCTCAATTTATTTTTTAGTGTAGCAACTTGGGTCTTTGATGTTACCAATATTATTTTCTGTTCGTTAACATTCGAAAATCGGAAATAATAGGAAAAAGAAATGGCTTGTTGGCCGACATCGCAGAAAACATTGTCCTTTAATATAAAATCTTCACGGTTTTTCAGATAGCACCTTGGAATTGTAAATTTTCTTGCTTTCTGCAGGTATTCTGACCACCTCGACTACTTTTTATCGAGGTGTTTTGATATTTTTTAATCCCATTGTATTCTACTGATCCATATCTCCTGCATGAAAATTTTAATTCTGTTATTAGATTTCTCTAAAGGCCTAGCTAAAGCATCATAGACCAACATAATTACTTTCAAAACTTCTCTTTTCGTAGGTATTTCCTTATTTTCTGAAAAAAATAATTCTTTTATGAAAATGAAGAATTGTGTTCTGCAGGAGACCATTTTACACCTAGAACTCTTTGTGGTATAATATCTCCGTCATTTATATTGGATTTGAAATTTTCTTGTATATTTTTCAATAGTTCGAGATAATTACTCGTCCAGCTCTGTATATTGGGACCTGCTTTTTTATTGAATTCAATTATGTCTTTTACTAGTTTCTTGCCTTTTTCTTCATCTGCTACACTAACTAGTCATCCATATAATGTTTTTCCTTTATGGCATTTTCAGCTTCAGGAAAATCATTTTTGAACTGTTCAGCATTTTTGTTCCGTATATATTGTGCACACAATGGGGAGAATACGGCTCCGGAAATCTTTACCTCCATGAAGTATACATCAGGTTTCCTTTTTCTTTCTAAACTTCTCTAAAAAAATATTTGTGCATAAATAGGTTAGTTTAAAGATTTTTCATCAACTTTTACAGCAGCATCTAATACAAATCGATATTTTACACCAATATGGGGAATATACCATATTTTCCTATCTTCGGGAATGTTCTCCACTTGTTCAGGTATTGACAGTATTTCTTTTCGATATATTCCTAAATTCTTCCTCATACTTTTGGGCAAATTCTCCATCTCTATTCATTTTCTTTTCAATGGAGACCAACCTTTACATTGACAATTTATATTATATTAGACAATGGAAGTCCGAACTAATGAAATACACCATGAAACATTGTCAACCACCTTCAAACTAATAAAAATGTTGAGTTTTCTTGTTGCCACAGATTTGGCTATCTTAATCCAATATTGGTGGGATCACTCTGTATATTCAACCGACCCGCACTTTCCTCCTGTAGAAGATTTACTGATGCTGCTTCATAAAAAAAAATATAAATCCAATTCTTGTCCATTGGCTTTAATTTTTACCAGAGCAACTTTCAATATAGCGACAATTATATCAGAATTATTCGTTTTGAAAGGGTTATATTTTTAGGAGTGAATAATTTTTGGGAAAGAAAGTTTTTGGCTTTCTACTACTCCATCTGATACAAAAAATGGATGAGAGAATCTTCCAAAGAAAGGAAGGAAGTAATCAATTTGAAAATAAGTAACTCTATACATGGATGTGTAGATCATGCAAAGAAGTAACTTTCAGACACAAACTGATAGAAAGTCCTCCTGAAACAGCTACTTTCATATAAACATTGAATTACACGAAAGAAAAAATTCTTTCGAAACAAATACTTCTATATGAACACTGAATTATACAGAAGATACTTTTCTCTATTCAGTTTGTATATCGAACATTTGTTGAGGAATAAGAATCAGATATCATTCACATGAGTTCTACTTTGAATGAATGGTAATTAATTGTACTCACATGGAACACTGTCACCCTAACTGGTACCTATATAGAAGTATTTGTTTCGAAAAAATTTTTTCTTTCGTGTAATTCAATGTTTATATGAAAGTAGCTGTTTCAGGAGGACTTTCTTTTAGTTTGTGTCTGAAAGTTACTTCTTTGCATGATCTACACATCCATGTATAGAGTTACTTATTTTCAAATTGATTACTTCCTTCCTTTCTTTGGAAGATTCTCTCATCCATTTTTTTGTATCAGATGGAGTAGTAGAAAGCCAAAAATTTTCTTTCCCAAGAATTAGGTATTCGTGTAAGCTACTATATCATTTTGATTTATATGGTCCGTTTCGCAGACTCTCTCTTTCACATGCAGTGAATGATGCTGAAATTTTTGGCAGCTATCCATGTCACAAACCTCTTTTTAAACAGTTTTTCACTATATGTGCTCCTTCAAACAACAAAAGCACAACTTCTTATTCACAACAAAATTCCCTTTTTTTTTAAATCAAGGTTCAGGAACTTTTCCCATTTTTCATTGGAGTGAATTTCTGCATTGCAATATCTACAATCTAGTTTCTCGTTTGTAGTGACTAATACATATTCAAATTTTGGATGAACTAAAATGTCTAGTTTTTTTCTGTAGAGTTGAAAGTCTGGTTACAGTTTGTACATAGCAAGCAGCTTCCGATTTTTTCCATATCCACTCGCTGAAGTCCTTGCGATTAAGATAATTTTTACTCGATGATATTTTCTCCCCCAAGATATCTGCATTGAGTAGATAACTTTTGTAACAATTTTTCCAGCAAATGAGAATTATCAAGATAATTTTTCATATTAAGTACTTCTAATATAACGAGGTTGGCTACTGTTTCAGATAAATTTGTCATTTCTTTGAAATCGTTATTTCGGACAAAATGTATCATTTATGCATCATTTTTATCATTTCTTCATCACATTTATGCATCACTATTAGATCAGGTCAACTAAAATGATTTTCAAAATTTCCAATATTATATCTAAAGACATCAGAAACGAGGAGACCTTCAACGCATCTTTTGGCATTCTCAGTAAGGCATTTTCTTAATCGGCACAATTTTTTTCTGGATATTTCCATTCTCTCTAGCCGAATTTCCCAAAGGACTTGAATTTTTCGACTCTCGTTCTCTTAATTTGCTTCTAGAGGTTGCAATTTCATCTGATTTCTCATAGAAAGCAAGTGACGAATTTTGTAATGTGATGACATTTCCTTAAATTTGGCGTTATCATCATTATGGGATTTTTCTAGTTCTGATTCCGAGGAGTGACTTTCAGATTATTCGGAGAAAACAGCATCAATTTTGGCTTTTACTAATGCTAGTCTAGGTATTCAAAATAATCCGTTTCTCCTGTTTCAATATACGCGTCAATGCTTCATCTGCTTTCATCCGAGTCCCTATTTTAGGCTTAGAGGCGGTTCTGCTTGCTTTGGAATTTTTGCTGTTAGAACTTTTCTTGGTGGATGTCTTTCTACTTTCAATAGTTCCTTCAGAATGTTTAGCGTCACTATTTGAACATATATCTGACCTTGCTTGCTTTTCTCGCACGTCAGGACAAATTACATTTTTTGTCGTCATACTTCTCGTCGGAATTTTATTTGACATCGTAATTTGTGTTGGAAATAGTTCGAAGGAACAATAAATGTATGGATTCATTGTAAAATCCAGGAAATTGAATTAATTAATGTCAATATTTACAGTGTTTTTGAACACTTAATTACATTTTTACACAAAATTGGATGCAAATTCTTTGTTTCTTTTTGTTTCGATAGTAGAAAACCACCGAACACGCAAAACACTTTTAACTTTTATGCCTCTTACCAACTGTGAATTATGTTCGAGACAAGTGTACCAACTTAAAAGTATAACAAATCACTAATTGAATCTATGTAGCCCGCGAAAATTGACCATTTACGTTATTTTTTCAACAGCACACGTATGACGAGATCGTGAACATAAATTTTGAGAGAATCAGCATCTGTGAAAGGTACTGATTCGGTTACTAGAATTTTTTCATTCGTTTTACTTGGAAATGGGTTTCTGTATTTTTTGACACTTTTGTGTCTGATATAATTGAAATTGCGATTCCTGTATCAATTAGTATTTTGAACGTGTTGGTAGCGTTTCTGTTCGTTTATTTGATTAAATCCCAGTCGTAGGAATCTTGTTCAGATTGAAATGGCATATTTTTAGGACAGAATAATTTTTGTGGAAGATTCCCACAATTTTTGTATCAAGATGGAGTAGATGGCCAAAAACTTTCTTTCCCTAAAATTATTCTCCTCAAAAAATATACCCTTTCAAACCATCACCCATGCAATTTACGCAAATTGTAAATCTGTCGGCTAATATTTCATTTCTAAATCATTCCAATAACTTAAGCACCTTTTATATTTTGGGTTGAATGAGTTAATTCCTGATATAATTCAAACTATGATTTCAGTATATCGATAATAACAAATGAGGAATTACAATCAATAACAATAACGATTCCATTGAGATAATGTACATCGCTTCCTTATATTTAAATGTTCTACAAAAGTCCCACTCATCAATTCAGAAGTTGGGAGTGATTTCAGTGGTTTATCCTTGTTTAGGGGAGATCAGTTTTAAAAAATTTTGCATTTTTTATTTTGATAAACTGGCATGTCTTATGAGGAACGTATATTGATTAATGGGGATAGACCTCTGAAGAAATACATTCTCGTTCTAATATTTTTTTATTTCAATAGTGATCTTAAAAGTGGGGTAAAATATCAGAAACATGATTACAAAATTCTCATTATTGAGACTATTTCAAATCACCTAACTTGTCCTTGTTTATTCCATGTCATTTCGCTGCACGTTTTTTAAGCGGACTCAGAATCTGCAAAAGAATAAAATAAATTTGTGAAATATTCTACAGTTGAAAATAATGGATTGATATGTTACAGACGTGCGATGGACTGAAACAAATCACAATTTATTTTAGGATTGTTCGAATTTTACTTGTGAGTAAATTGTTCAATCTGGAAAAATGGGAATATTAAAATTTTTCCAAAATTGTGTAGAGCTACAATCTTTCATTCTGAACAACTTTTTTCAGTAACGTTTTGACATATTATGAAAAATAAGGATAGATGACCTGAAAAAAAAATATTTTCAAAAACTGAAATTATTCGTAAAATTCATTTTTCACCAAGCAGAGCTTATCTCAAAATGAATTTCAAAAATTGTCAGTCCTTCACACCTCTTGTCACATAAATTCTGGGAAACACTGTATATCATGAGACACAGAAAATAAGAAATGTGTTTCGATAATCAATTGAAGTAGAGTATGGAATAATAATGTTGATTGAAATTTGAAAGTCATTACAACTCATTCGTGAGTTCTTTATTATTTGCTCACAACTGATGTAAATAAGACATTTTATTTATCATTATCCACTACTATAAAAGTATCAAGTAAAATTTTTGGAGTTGTCATATCGAAACTCATGAAAATATCATCATTAAATGAGATGCCTTATGATTAATTTACACCCATGCTTGGAACAATATATTGTCTGAATATTAATTGGGAAGGTACACTAGTCATTTTTGGCATTTATGGGTTTTTATTTTCATGAATTCATTCAATTTCGAAAAATTTTGAATTTACATTTACATATTTGTGTACGATTTCAATCAGCTTTCTGTGAGGATTCGCGATAGAAAACAGAGGAGATTCGCTAGACGTCATCCAACAGGTATACAGGTGTCAGACAGACGCTTCGCATGACTCAGTGTTTAGTGTGCGATAGACATACAGTGTGTCTCACCCCCCCCCCGTAATAATTGAAGTAAAATGATAAAACTCTCAGTACTGGTGGAAATGATCAAAATGCACATACCTCCTAAATAGGGTTGACTAAAGTGATATACACTGCCCGCCACTCGTAATGGAACAAACCATTTTTTCGGAAAACATACTAGGGGGCAAAATAGGCCTAACATTCCTTCAGATTCGTGATCAGAACTACCAACTTACTACGAATACACTTTTCCCCTGAAAAAATTTCAGTCCTGAAAAATCCGAGAATTTGTCTTACTTCTCATGGAAACACTTTCGTGATCATTGATGTAGATTTTTTTGGTTTTGACATCAAAACACGAACCCGTTCTAGAAAATCAGAATTTTTACATGAAAAATCAACTGTTTAAGATAAACTTGACTTTTGTTTTCACATAAATAATTTATTTTTTATTTTGGTGTCAGGAAAGTTATATTCCTTCTCGCAAAGTCAATAAGAGAGGAAATATGATATCAGTGAGGTTTTAGGATGGTTAATGTTAATTCAGATTCTCATCTTCCCATTATTTTCAAAAAACCAAGTGTTTTTTGTGGCGAAAAATTTTATGTCGTTCAAAACACTTTTAAAGTAGTACTTTCAAAATCCAGTTTTCAATTAAAAAACAAACAATCAATTTCAATTGATTTAATTGTTGGTAATTTTATATATTTGTAACTATCTATCTATCAAACTTTCCTCCAAGCGCCTTCTATTATTTCCTACAACTCTTCTCAGTTATCTAGGTGTTCTTGACATGCTGATTGAAAATGTCCGTAGCCAAAGCTCAAAAATGTACAGTTTATGAGATGTGAACCTTTGAAAATAGATTTTTTCATTTTTTGCGGCATTTGCTCATCAATCGGAGTGTTCTCACTTCTGGTTGGGACAGAATTTGGATGTTCGGCACCCAGAATTAGTTTTACGAATGGTGTTCCTCAATTATATCAGATGCCATCGATAATTTTTCACACACTGCTCCACACTATCTCGAGAATCTGAGAATGTGGTACTGTGACATTTTCCTCAGAGAGGAATAGAATGAAGGGGTTCAGGTATTGGAAGCGAACTATTTTGCTCCCTAGTATGTTTAACCGTAAAAATGGGTTGTTCCATCGCGACTGGCGGGCAGTGTTTTCATCAGTCCTGAGAGTTTCATTATTCTACCTCGATTATTACGGAAGATACGGAGGTATTTCCATGAGAAGTGAGACACACTGTAAACTGTTTACAGTGAGCATATAACCTAAAACTATCACCACTTTTGAAAATGATTATAAACAATTTGATGAAATAAGCAGAAGATGATCCTCGGAACATTACAGAATTTCCTTACGAAAGGTAAGTTTAATAATATAATATAATACGATTCATCAATAACAAGTGAGACAAGTTGGATACACCTATCTGAATTTTATGCAAACGCAGTAATATTTATAAGTTTATTAAGTAATTCAAAATTATTTTATTTCAAAAGGGGTGTGAAAACCCCTGAAATCATCAGTATTGAAGTTCTAGTGTTTGGGAAAAGGGTTTGTTTTGGATCATTTCCAATCTCTCAATATCCTATTAGAAAAAGAAAGTTCGAAATTGTACGATTCATTAAAAAACATTTTCAACCACTTTCAAACAAACCTAGATACCAAGGTTTTGACTTGCCATAGGTCTCATCAGTAGTGGTATGCATTTTTGGACTCATCTGCTCCAAAGGACAAACCTGGGTATGAGCATAGACAACTCCACTTATGAAAACACTATAAATGGGATAGACAGTAAACTGAAACATTCCTTGTCAAAGATAAGCAAAAGTTTTTGGTATCTGGTTTCATCTAGTTGTCTTGCAGAAAAAAAACTAAAGGAAAACAGAGAGCGACTTAGCATTGGGTAGTCGATGTCGAAGTTTGGCTTGCAACAGACTGCCGTAAGGACCGTATTTATTTTGGATACACAACGTCGATCTTATTGATGACGTCTTTGTTAATTAGGACACGGTACATAATGAGGCACAGGCTGTATGAAATACCATCTTCTACCTGCCCCAGAACTTACATCGGCTAGACCAATAGAAGAATTTCCAACAGAGCCTATGAACATGAACCAGCTGTTCGCAAATCAGATCCAACCTCATCCTTCTTCAAACATCACCTTAAAACAAGCCACACAATAAGCTTCAGAAACACCAAAACCATTGCTACAGAGAAAACTCCTCAGGCCAGAATAATTCGTGAAACAATCGAAATTGAAAAACGTCCCGAGTGTCATAACAAACAAAATGATTCACAGAGACTACTGCAATCATGGAGGTCATTTCAGATATTGTGATATAAAAGACGTTGCAGAATAGTTTGATGTACCATTCTAACTGATGAAACTACCGTGTAGTGAAACACGTCTTAAGTAAAATTTATTCTCAAAATTGTATAATGGATAGATGATAGATGATGTTTGAGTTACACTAGTGAATAATGACGTAGCCGGCATCTAAACATCAATTTAGACATACAGAGTAGTTGAAAATAATTTTATAATGTGAAAGCTTTGTTTAAAAAAAAATTAAACAACTTTTTCTCTTTCTAGCCGTTGGATAATGATTTTCATGAATCCATCAGTCTATTAATGAATAGACTTCGTAGATAATGGCAAAGAATCTGAAAACCTTATTTCCCGCGAACTAAGGATTACATTATTAAGAATTTTGGACTTACTTGGAATGAGCATAATAAATTATCATCAATAGACATAAGAGCTCCAGCGTTATCAAATGTACCACAGTAATTTGGGGCTGAAAAAATTGTTATACATCGCCTCTGAGCAAAAAACTCGTACCCATCTTCTACAACCTGAAATTAAATAAGTAATGAAAATTGGTTACGCCGCAAGGCATTTGAAGGCCTATAGGCCTCGTTATAACTCGCTTCGAAAAATATGTTTTACATATTCAGTTCGGTATTCTAGAAAATTTTAGTATCGCAAAACATAGGTACCTTTGAAATTGACCATAGGATAAATTGATAAATGCTTGACATTGTTGTGCCCGGTAGGTACATGACAACAGGCCTTTAGATGCCTTCAGTCTAGAAAAACAAAAGTGTGGAATTACCAATGGGCAGCCATTTCCTTTCTTTAATTTTTCACGAAATAATTATTAGTTAGCAAAGAGAAAACTAGTAGTTATTGACATAATATTGACTACAAACCTTTTGTCTCATACTAATTATATCTTATATAATTTTCGTCAACCATAGGGCTCTAAGTTTGGGTACTCTTGATATTACATATGGTGCATGCCTATTTAAAAGATTTGTGAGACAATTGTTTGAAAAATGTACTTTTCCGTTTATTAAATCTTGATCAAATATCAAAAAGATCACTATTGAAGTTTTTAAAATATCTTTGTGATCACATCTTGGTTCCGACCTTCTTTCCACATACTCTTTTCTTGCAATCTATGAGCATTACACCATCATAACATTGCTGTCCATCACTTTTGAAACAGATTCCGCTCCTTGAATTATAATCAAGTCAAGGAGATTCACTGAACTATTCTAAATTCTTGTTGGAGTTTCTATTACGTGTTTCAAGCAATAAAACTCTAAAATGGCCTGAGATGAAAAACATCTTTTGATGCAACCAACTGATCTTCAGCCTTTCCAGGCTATTCACACTTATTTATTGTATCATTCTGGGAATAAAGACCTATTATTAATATTACTTTTTGAGCTCTTGGGTGTTCAATATTTATATTCATTATTATTTGTTTACTCTCTCATTTACCCTGTATATAATTATATTTAGTTTGATGTTCAAGTTTAGATGTTACGTAGGGGAAATACACTTGGAAAATGCAAAAATTGAAAATTTGGAGAAAAACAAATGTTTAGGGCCCTTCATTGATGAAAATCTAAAATTTGATTCCCATGTCGACTACTTATGTAAAAGACTAGCAGCAAGATGTCATGCAGTGAGAGTTGTTGCAAGAGAGTTAGACACTATTATTACAAGATCAGTTTATTTTGCACAAATTGAGTCCTGTTTACGTTATAGAATTTATTTCTGAGGAAATTGTGCACAATTTCGTTTCAATATGGTATTCTTCCTACAAAAAAGATCCATCAGATATTTATGCAAGGCTAGCTACTTTGTGTCAACAAGTTATTGAAGTCAACACGAAATGGCTATCAACGTTCATTACGTAGCATTATATATTTACATTTACTCAATATTCATATATTCATTTACTTATATTTGTATCTGTTCAGCTGGGCTTCATATTGTTCTGTCCATATACTCTGTCTGCTCTTGTCTCTGAGCATTGTTTTATAGTTCATGTTTGTTAATTTAATGTCCCATATACACGTTTTACTTTACTAGACTTTGACAATAAGATGCTCAGATCTTGGGTAATAAAGCTTCAGGCTAAGCTTTTCGTATTCTACAAAAATTACAGTTCATCGTGATTTCGTTGACTTCCGTTTAATCTGGAGAATCCAATACTTTTGACGCAGCTCGTTGATTACCATTTCTCTTCTTCGATGTCCATATTTCTCATGAAAATGTCCAATCAGAAGCCGGGTGTATTTGTGTTTGCTGTCTAGAATAATTATACAGTGCAATTGAAATTTGGGATATTGAAATTAATGCATGAATACTTTATTTTAAAGTGGAATTGACAGAAATTCCCAGATGGCGACTGCATGGTCGCCATCAAAAATGAAATGGAAAGTCTTGTGAAACATCATTTTGAAGCTTTTGACAAATATTTCACAACACTAGAATATGAAGTCAATATCTTCGCCTACTACAAAATGGCGGAACATTTAATAATTTTCTGAAGACAAACACATTAATATCGATATTTCTAGAAATATTTCTTTTTATCTGCCATATGGCAATTCCAACAACCCGATAAGGTTTGTTATTATTTATTGTTTATAAAAAATGTCAGCACGACAATGAACATCATTGTTCAGTTAGAATATTCTTATTTAGTTTTCGGTTTTACTGGTACAAAGGTACCACGTCAACAATCTCTAAAATGGTCAATTCTCGTCCATTGGAAGAAAAAAATTAAAGCGATTTTTATTTACGGTGTGAAGCGTAACTTTCACGCAACTGAAAGGATTTTCAATGAACGTTTTCCGAATCGTCCTATCTGTAGAAAATATTTGAGGGAACTTGTATCCAAATTCACAACTACCGGAAGTGTACATAACGAAACGCCTCCAGGTCATCCCCATTCCGTAAGAACATCAAGTGCGAATAATTGGTGAGATGGTAGTAAATCCTGAACAGTCTACTTATTCCGTCGCGAATGCTTGTGAGGTGTCTCCTTCTACTGTGTGGAGACTTTCGAAGAGGAATAGGTATCATCCATACAAAATTAAAATGGTACACCAATTAACTGAAGATGCCCTGATCGAAGAAAAGAATTCTGCGAAATCAAGAGGGAAACCATTGCAAGCCATCCTACCTATCTCCACAATATTTGTTTTAGTGACGAATGTAACTATTTTTAAACGGCAATGTTCACAGACAAAATTGCCGTTATTGGAGTGACACCAACCCTCACGTTTTCCTGGAAACACCTACCCAATATCCAGAAAAAAATAACGTTTGGGCAGGAATATTGGGAAATCATATTGTAGGACCTCTATTTATTTATCAAAATTCAACAGGGGAACTGTATTTGAATATGCTGGAAACTACTGCTGACCCTCTCATCACTGAAATCGTCGAAGCGCACCACCACATTACTCCAGTGAAGTAAGAAACTATTTGGATACTACTTTTCCCGGTCGTTGGATTGGTCGTCGAGGTCCTACAGAATGGCCAGCCTGCTCGCCATATTTGACAGCTTTGGACTTTTTATGGGGCTATTTGAGGCAAAATGTGTACGAAACTGAACCTGCTCCAATATTGAATATACGGCAGAGAATAATAAATATTTGTAGAGATATTGACGTTACTGTATTCGAAAATGTTCGGCGTGAAATATCGAATAGGCTGTTCATATGTCAAGAAGTTCAAGGCAACCATTTCGAGCATCTTCTGAACTGACTTCAAGCTTATTACCTCATATTATGTAGTTAAATGTCAAACCCTGTATATAATTATATTTAGTTTGATGTTCAGTTGTTGTAACTAAAAAAAGAGAATAAAAAAAAACTTTTTTGACTGACATTGAATTTCAATATTTCGTTCTTCGAGACCGGATTTAACTTAGATATTCCAGGTAAAATACAACATTGGGCATTCGTAAGCCAACATATTGATATTTAAACCACCAGTGCATCACCTCGATAAATGTTATCCAAGGAAGTTCAAAATTGATAATTGTTCAGATTCAGAGAACCTACACACACAGAGTACCTTCACTTATGATTTGCGATTTTTTATTTGCACGTTGTCCAACGTTTTCAATAATTAGCAGCAGCGAATCCAAAACATATATTTTCCATTTGATACACCAACAGAGAATTCAAAGGGACGACATGACAGGGGGTAATTGCCAGATTTTTTTTCGTAAATCCTGGCGCACAGATCTTTCGTTTCTTACGTAAAGTATAACCCAACTACAAATGTAGTTGACTGTCAATTTAATTTAGATCAGTGCCATCTTCTTGTAGTTTTCCTAATTCTTCTGTTGTCCATACTGTTATTCTGGAAATCACCAACAATTTAAATAACACTTTTTGTGAGATGATCAATAAACCGGAGCAATCACTCCACTAGCTGGAGTGATTGCTCCGATGCCGTGAGAAGCGGTGGGGTAGCTGTTATGGTAAGAAAAGGTATTGCACAACGCGCGTATCATTAAGTGGAGAAATAAGCTTGAGAGCCTTTACGTGGAGGATGGCTGAGAGAGTGAACAACCGGAATGAGGCCATCCCAACCATAGAAAACGTTCAAGTACACGCGGTGACGGACCATCAGAAGGCTCAGATATTTGGGAAGTATTTCACTGTGTTTGCAAGTTGAACCTGATGATTGCGAAGATCATAAAAATATAACTGTCGAAGCCGGTCGGTTTCTGACCGGTTTCTGGCTTATAAATTGCCAAAAAACATTAGGTGATTCATGGATGGCCACTAACTTGAAATATAATGAAGAAAGTTGACTTGCATTTTTTTAGTGTACTATATGTGACTTTCGAAAAATCAATCATTCAAAAATTTATTTCTCACCAGAAGCTAGTATTAGACTACAAAGAAGTTGTTGAGACTATTAAGTGCCTGGGAAAAAATGAAGCGCCAGGACTCGATGGGATTGAGGCAGTTCTACTTCGCAATCTCCTGCGTAAAGGTACATATTGTCAACGTTATCGTAAAATATCAACACTATCCGGATTGTGTAAAGTATATGGAGGTCCATCCATAAGTCTGGAAAACCGAGAATACTTATAAATGGCTATAGCCCGATCTCGCTGTTCAGTGCGGTCGCGAAGCTAGTTGATAAAATTCTCCTGAGTCAACTTCTTGGTTGGAACTCATCCTGAAGGAGCAATTCGGGTTCCGACGAGGTCGAAATATGGCCTCCTAATTGATCCGGGTTGTTCATGGGGTGAAGGTGATCACCAGGAGAACACAGTTATGGTCCTGTTGGACTTACATAAAGCATTCGAAAAGGTATGGAAAGAGGGATTTGTAACCAAGATGTAGTCGGATTGTGATGAGGATTCTTGAATCCTACCCGAGCTACCGAAGAGTGGACCAAACCACATCTGATATTACCCAATCAAAGAAGGTGTTCCACAGGGATTATGCTGGCACCACATTTGTACTTCTTTTATACGCACGACTTTTCAGTATTCTATAAAACGAATGTGGGTATCCAGATGATACTGCAATTCACGCACATGCGTTCTCGAGCGAGGTGGCGAAGCAACAATTACCGTATTTTGAGATGCATAGAATTGAAATCAATCCGGACAAAACCGAACTCGTTAACTTCTCGAAGAAATTTACAACCGTAAAGATCTTCGGGAAGTTGCGAGTCAAAGGGCATCGTGTTGACTAGCAGAGAAGTGCGTGATATCTGGGAGTTACCCTGGATAGTCGCCTGAACTTTCAGAAACATTTGAGTTTGACGATCCAACGAGCGGTTGCGACGGTAAAACGCACGTATCCGCTCATTGCACGCAGCTCTAAGCTCAGTGTTGACAAAAATTGCACGCAGCTCTAAGCTCAGTGTTGACAAAAATATGTTCAATCACACATATGTGGCCAGTGAGCAAATGTGTCACTCATGAAAAGACTGCATGCATTCGGGACAAACACTTTCTTTACATTTTTGACATGCATATCTTGTTCTGCGTTTGCAGTTTTTCTCGAGACAACGTGGTGGATTTTTATATTCCCTCTTCATCATGGCGAACTTCCACTGCCACTTTGGTCCAAGCTTTCTTTTTCACACATCTCGGAGTGTCAGTTGAGGGTCTCCCTCTTTTTCTATTATTTTGATGGATCTGAAAAATTGTAGAAGCGATGGACGCTTTGAACTCAAGTAGAGATATCTTTGGATTTTTCGCTTGTCGGTAAAGTAACCATGCGTTTATTATGGCTACATTCAAAAAGTGAAATGCAATACGCATGTAGAATTTTTTGTTTTTTAGAGCATGTGGGTAATGGGCAATCATTCTATCTGCCAAGTCCACTCCTCCCATAAATCGATTATACTGAATAACAGCCTGTGGTCTTGAAACATCCTCATATAATTTAGTTTTCCTATTCCATCTTCGAACTATATCTTGGGGATCCTTGCCAACAAATGACGAAATCATATGAACAAGATTATTGTCCACCCAGCGCAGTACTGTAATGTTATTCGAGGATGTTGTTACAGAACAAGAACCTCTACCCTTCCTCTGAAGTACTTTTCCATCAGTCAATTTTTTGCATGCTTCTTTGATTCTATTGATTTGAACTGTTCCTACCACATGGATACCTGAATTCATCAACTTAGTAACTGTAGGAACTGAAGTAAAAAGATTATCCAAAAATATTTTATGATTCAAACCATCAAGACCTTCACACAGTCGGACAACTGTATCTCCAATCACACCCAATTCTGTTGTGTTCTGATTTTTTGAAGACTGGTACATCTCAAATTTGGATACATAACCATCTGCTGAAGCTTTTATCCAAACTTTGAAACCCCATTTTTTCGATTTGGATTTTATATATTGCTTGGCTCTACTTCTTCCTTTGAATGGAATGATCATCTCATCAATTGCCATGTATTCCGTAGGTGTAGCAGCAGCAGCAAATGACTTTTCCGGATAGGGTCGTACCCTCTAAATAATGATTTTCTGGTATCTCATCATTATTTAGAAAATGTAGGTATCGCTTTATTTCCTCATATCTTTTCAAAGACATTGCATTAGCAATAAGGTCAAAACCTAAGCCTGGACTTGAAGACCAGTACATGCGATATGTCGGATACTTTATGTACGTCATGATAATATTTATGGCAAAAAAATGCTTCATTTCACTCACAGTGACATTGAATGAATGTTTTCCCGATTGGACCGCATAACGTATCGTTTCTTTAATTGTGAGATCAAATATTTCTTCTGGAAAAAGTTTTGAGAAAAATGCATATGGTGTATCTCCCGTAACATTGATGAGGTGCTGACCTTGAAATATTGGTGCCTTCCCTTTATGGTCATTGTCTTTCCCAGAATACCATACGAGAGGTTCTTGGATAGCATCAGTTGCAGAAACGGAACTGACTTTGTATCTATTAGTTATTTCACTGAATGGCAAATCATATTCACTATCTTCACTTGACTCTGAAACATCATCTTCGATTTCAGTAGGACGGTGAGGCACACCAAATGATACATCAAAATCAATTTTTTCTGAATTATCAAAAAGGTGAATGCACAAATCAAAGAATTGGAATCAGTACTTCTGAAGCTATGGGTAAATAGATTGCAATATGTTTGAAACTTCCTAATCCAGAAATTCATATTGTACCGTATATCTGTACAGTAATGGAAATAAGAATGTGGTTATAGAATCCTTGATGCCCTCTGTTATGATATCCAACTGTTCGAGTTACACCATTAATTTCATTAACAAAAAATTATTTTGTGCATGGAAATTTTTTGAAATATGCTCATAGATTGAATTGAAAGGAGTATATTTTTATGAAAGATTAATTTTTGGAGATGGAGAAGTAGAAAGCCAAAACCTTTATTTTCCATGATCATAGATATTTTCAACTTTTTGTTATGGAATGTAATAATGCAACTATCACATTCTTGGAATCGCACGTTGAAAGGTAAGACCTCGTTGATCCCTAGTTCATACAAGTTTCGACTTCTGAGGGGGCGACAGCTGGTAAACGGAAAACATGTTTTTAATAAACTCCAATTCCAGATATCCTTCACAACTGAATATCATTTTAAAATATTCCTGTTATAAATTATAGAAAAAGTATAGTATTCTACTGGCAGAAAGTGGGCATTTCTCTTTTGAATGATTTGCTGAGCTCGCCTTTAGCACGCTTCGACAAACTTCATTGTCACGGCTAATGACAACAATTATTATTCGTTGAATACATTATTCTTTTCTCTCGTGAGAAAAAATAAGAAAAAGAAGATGTATAGAAGAATGAATTTCAAAACATGCGGAATTCATAATTTCCTGGCTAAAATCACAATTTACATTAAACTGTTTACGAAAGAAAAGCATCTGCAAGACCAACCTGTATAAGGTCTCTTGAATGAATGTCTGTCTGTCGATTTTTTTGGTTTTTATCACTAGTAGGTCATTTTTGATGTCGAATAGGATATCATTTCATATCAATTAGGCGTTCAAACTTCAGCCTTCATTTAACTAGAAAAGGAAAATCGCGAAATGCAATCGATAGTAATATATGTTTGAAGGTGGTTGACAATAATGTTTCGTGGTGTATTTCATCAGTTCGGACTTCCATTGTCTAATATAATAGAAATTGATTTGAAATCCCTGAAAAAAAATTCAAAAGATTAACCTAAAATGAAAATTTTATTAAACAGAAAACTGAAATTACAAGGAAATAACATACAAGCAACAACCAAAAAGAATAAAATATTGAAATATTAATAAAAGCTGAAAATTAAAAAATATAAATAATCTTTCAATTTTTATTTTTCATTTTTCGTTAATAATATTTTTTAATTTTTTAAGTTTCAGCTTTTATTAATATTTTAATTTTTTATATTTGTTTTTAATTGTCGCTTGTATGTTATACCTTCAGTTTTTAGTTTAATAAAATTGTTATTTTCGGTTAATCTTTTCAATTTTTTTTCAGGGATTTCAAATCAATTTATATTATATTAAACAATGGAGGTCCGAAGTGATGAAAGATACTAATATATGTTATATACTCTACCTGATGTCCTCGACAAAGTAAATCAAAGTCGTGTTTGCTTAAAAACTTTTTTACGACATCGGGTCCAAAAGAGAATGAAACGCCTCTATCGTTTTCACTCCAACCCATTGTTGAACTCGGATCAGACCATAAAAGATCACATAGCAGTCCTGGAAATATATATCAGTCAAAATGATCACAATGGCCCAGTACTAAATATACCTTTCGCAGGTACGTCAGTCGGCCTTTCGATATTTCTAATTTGTCCTATATGTAATAGATCCGGACTCAAACCACCATGACAACAAAATATTTTATCGTCAATTATCGCAGCAACAGGAAGTGTATTGAATACATCAGTGAATAATTTAAATATCTTTATACTATATCTTCTTTTACCTAAAAAAAATAACGTCTATTTTTTCAATGTTACAATCACAAAAGACCCAAGGTTAGATAGGTGGTGGAATGCTCCCGATAAAGGCCCGACATTAGGGGAAAGTTAAGACTTCGTTACCGAAAATCGGGCACACGTTGTAGCTCGCTTGATTGAGAAAGTTGGACAATTGGTGTCAAAATAATCATACCAGATTGTACAAAGAAGTTTATAAAATATTTAGGTTAAGAATTTTGTTGCAGACAATGTGTCAAACGTTTGTTGAACACGGCTGAACATGCAACATGGATGTCGCAAGATTTTGAATCTGTCACTTGCCATCTGACATATCAGTTAGTACCAATATATAGAGCATGACAAGGAAAATTAGTTCAGAACATAATTCAATATGAATTTTCTTTCCCAAAATAATTCAATATACAAAGTAAGACCAAAGAAAATGCGAAACATATCGAATAAAATTAGATCTTCAACTTCCAAAACATGTTATTGAAATGAATTGAATGAGGCCTCCATTTGATTGAGGATATGTGGTTGCAATCCGGGGAAGTTATGTTAATGTCAGTTATTTGACGCATTTTAAGGAAATAATGTCTAGGGTTATAACGTGGTGTATACTAATGGGGACTTGATTAAAATGCTTTTGGAAGGATTTTTTATGATTTATGTTTTTTCCAATTTCATTATAAATGAAGAGTGAAATTGATTTTGCCATGAAAGTGTATTGGGTATTAAAATCAAAATCAACAAAGACTTGGCGTGACGTTGAAATAAAAGAGAAAAGTTGATAGCTTGTTGTCAGGTATAATAATTGTAATTGGCAGTCCAATTGCAAACCAGGATTGTGGCTATTTCAAAAGTTCTGATTTTGAAGTTGAAATGCTTCAAACGAATTGCATTTTGAAATCAACCAAAATAGGTTCACAGTGTCCGAAAAAGTTTTCGAGAAAAACGCGCGTTAAAGTTTCGCAGTGTATTACTACTATGTGCACGCCTTCAGTGGGGTATAAGGTCTTGATATCATTGGTCTGGGTATCTGTGACGTCATTTCTTCAATCTGCGATGTTTATTCTTGTTGTAGTGTGGCGGTAGCTTCAGTTATCGAGTTTGTGATTGGGCTACAATGCAGCTGATTAAAATAACGTTTTCTAAAGTAACCTTTCCGTTTTTGGGTTTCTATCTTATCACCACGAATGTTTTCTTTCAGTTTCGTAATTTTCGTAGGAATTTCGTCGTGAATTAATAAGTTTCATAAATTCCATTTTATTAAAATTAACGCGAGTGACGATTCTGAAAATAATCAAAAGATTTTCGAAGCGAATAATGGGATATATGATGCGATATATAATGAAGATGAATTTTCTACAAGTTCTGGTTTGAATATTACATCAGAAAATTCTAAAATGGAGTATGTTGGGTTTGAGAATAATCCGAATGATACACAACTGAATAGTTCTCGCATCAACATCATAGAACTTGAAGAATATGTCGTGCCTGTATCCGTACCTGAATCTTTTTTCAGTGAATGGTTCTAAACATACCATTTCTAAATGAAGGTGAGACATTTTTTTCGCAAGTTTGATGAAGTAAAAATAGTAAAATGATCATTTTTCCCATACTTTATACAGTTTATAAAATATACTACTGAACATCTGACTTACATTCTTCATAGAAACCATATATTTTACAAATCGAACTAGCTTCATGATTTCCCCGTAGAAGGAAAAAGTTTTCTGGATATTTTATTTTATACGCAAGTAACAAACATAAAACTTCAGTCGACTGTTTTCCTCTATCCACATAATCCCCAAGAAATAAATAATTTGAATCGGGAGGAAATCCGCCAAAACTGAAAAGCTTAAGTAAGTCCGTGAATTGACCATGAATATCACCTGAAATCAAATATGTTATCAAAATGAAATATTATGAAAGTCATTATTCGTGGGGTAAAACAATCTTTGTTGACTTTTTTGGGTATTTTTTAATTAATACGTATCAACGGTAGACGATTCACGCTCAAAGTTAGGTACAACTTTCATAGTGAAGGCAATAATGTGAAATGACCACCAGTCTGTAAAAAAAACGTTGAGTTTTTTTTTATCTCCAGCTGAGCATTGTTCGCCTGGTACGCCATATTTTCACAATTTTCTGTTAATTTTAACGTTCAGTGGTGGTTAAAAAGACCAAGCAATTCATTTTAAATAAAAAAATAGTTATCTTTATCGCGCCTACAAGTATTCTGTTAGGTTCTTAATGAAGTATTTTTCCGTGTAAACCGGCTAAAAACACTTACTACGTGAAATGAAAAGGTGTGTCATCAGGTATGTACTCAAAAGTACCGTCATGAAGTATTGAAAATATTTTAAAATAGCAATAAATCCACTTGAAGGATATCAATGATCAGACCTTGTCGATCACTGTATTTTTCTAGAGATACGTTCAATATCTTGCTGAAAATTTTTATGCAGACCCATTTCACAAATCTAATGCAGAAATAATTTCATTCGGAGGAAACATTTTCAAGAATATCACTAGAATAAAACTAGTGACTGTTACGGAGGGTTGAGTGGAAGAAGATAATCTATTATGAATATGAAGTTTGCCATTTATTTAATTTACAGTAAACCGTAATAAACACGATATTGTAATTACAAACTTGAAAAGTAAAACCTTGGACAAACCTTACTAATATTAACAAAGTTATCGGATATTTGTGTGCGCAAATAAATAACAACGCCACAATCATCCAGACTAGAATTCAAAAGAATAAAAACGTAACCGGTTTCACCACTTTTGCCCCAAGACTGCGAGACAACTGAAAATTATACAACTCTGACCACCAATTTCAAATAAAATATAAAAGTTTCAATCGAACCAAACAAAATGCTGTCGTTCGACACGCTAACCAAGTGTCATCAGGAGATGACTTCACTGTCTCTAAACTTTTATATTCATCCCCCGATGAAGCTAACTTGGTCACTAGCTTGTGCATTTTTATACATTTTGATAGTAGGCACTTGTCATCGTGAAAACAATGGCAGAACTTTCAAATCGATATCATTCATCGTTTTCAAGATACGCGACTTCAAAACTGCTTTGCTGACGATACCTCACTTGCCTCGTCATTTCATATATATTCCAGAACATCGGCTGCAGATGTACATCTTCACCAGGTTCAATTTAATGCCACGAAACCCCAGGCATCGGTTTTCTTCAAAAAGATAAATGTCTCCGAACTGGATATAATAATGTCAGGACAGACAATTTCGCTTTCTTCATTGATAAATTTGTTGGCAGTTGAAATGGACACCATACTGTCTTGGCATAATCATGTCGTTGGAATTGCAAAGGCTGCTTCTCAAAAGCTTGGGACATTGTTCCAAACCATAAAAATGTACACTCCTCATCAACTTTTGATGCTTTATACAGTTCAGATCAGACCTTCTTTGGAGTATTGTTCACATGTAGTTCTGCCCCTGAAGATGCTGAATTCAATCCAGGAAAGAGACATTCGCCTGATTGGAGTCGCGAACATAACTTGCAACCTTGATAGTCTGGAACATCGAAGAAGGGTTGGGGATTTGTCTTTCTTTTATAGTTACTTTCACGGAAGGTGTCCAAGTGACTTGGCACATTTGATTCCACCAAGAGCGGTAAATAAAAGAAATACGCGACGGACTGTGGCTGCTCATCGTTGTGAGGTTAAACTCAGTACACCTCGAACTTCACTGTTTCAGAACTCTTTTATTTGGAGAACGGCGTTCATGTGGAGAGCCTTCCTGTAGTGCTTGTGTTTCGTTCTAAAACTGAGCCGCAACTGTTATAAAGTGAATCATTTGATATTTATGTTTGAATAAAGATGTTTTCAGTACAGGAAAGTTTTTTTAGCAGACACAAGTAATTTGTTTGAAAGAGGTTGACAATGTTTCATGGTGAATTTTACTAGTTCGGACTTCCATTGTCCAATATGATTCTGAAATGATTCGAAATCTATGAAAGAACAAATAAAATTAGATATAATTGCTAAAATATCAATGCTGTATGGAAAACAAAGGGTGAAATGAAAATACAATAAAATGAATAAGATAAGATAATCAAGGTAAAAGATGAAAATGGCCACAGAGTAAAAAAAATTAAAAAACTCGTGATGCATTGCATGCAATGTGATCCAATGAAACAGAATAAAAATTGAAAATAAGCATCTTTATATAGATATATACTTACTTTCAGCTTATTTTCAATTCTTTTCTTTTTCATTTATCTTTCATCTTGATTATTTAATTTTATTGTATTTTCATTTCACGTTTTATTGCTTATACATAATTGATATTTAAGCTATTTATTTTAATTGTATTTGTTCTTCCATAGATTTCGAATCATAGAAAATGGCAGTCCGAACTAGTAACATTCATAAGTTATTTACTACAAGTCGACAAACTTCATATTTGACAGAATCACATAAAAAAACAATTTTTGGAAGATCAGGATCTCGAGAAGAACCACCTATTCCTATCCATCTGACAGACGCGTTGTTCAGATGATCGTGAATTATTGCGATATGATGCGAAATTGAGTCCAATCATGTAAATAGGTACCATGTACCATATTTATATTTTAATGTATTAAGGTAAAGCAACCCATTTTGAAGAAATTGAAAATAAATTTCTCCAGTCACTCGTTCTACCTATTTATTTGGTGGAAATTCATAATAAATATAAGGTAGAGAAAATAACTTTGGTTATTTTCTCTATCCTATTTGTTACGACCAATTTTGGTTTATTAAACCATTCAAAAGTAAACTGACGCAGTTTGACAAACAAATCCTTGAATATACAATAATATAGTTATTTAGGTAGGTTAACTAAACCTGTACCTTCAATAACAAAAATGTTATCTGAATAATCAATATCGTATCTGAGATACCAAAAAAATAAAATTATTTTACTTCCCTAATATATCAAAATAACTGAGTATTGATTCTAAAACATTACTTGCTCCAAATAACAATGGATTCTAAACTAGTTGTCAAAATTCAAAAGGGGAGAGCTGCATATTTCTAGTTGGTCATTGAGGGTATAGTCTTGATTAACCTACATAAATGACATTGACAATATTATTGTATATTTGAGGATTTGTTTGTCAAACTGTGTCAGTTCACTTGAGAATGGTTTTGATAAACCAAAACCGGTCGTAATAAAGAAACATTAGTAAAGCCTAATCTGTCCTATAGCTAAAATTTAATGTATTTTCTATTAGCATAATCTTAATAGTTCTTGCATAAGCTATATATGGCACGAATGCATTTTATTCACTGTAAGAGTAGATTTTATTCTACCATGAAAAAACAGTCTATACATTTTTCTTGTGTTAGCTGTCTTGGGTCTTTCAGTCGTGTAATAAACAACAAAGCCACGAGAAACCGTGAGTGAAATTGTCATTATAATCGAAAATTTCGAAATTACACGGCTAATATCAGGACATAACTTATACCTGTGAATTTGTAGAGAATTGAATACTTGACAATACCGGACAATAATATTTGGATGTTCCATTAAAAAAATTGAGATTCAGTGTGAATTTCTTCCTGGGAAATAATTTTATGGTTCCTGGTTTTTATAAAAACGTAAACATTAATTATTAAAGTCCAACTAATTTTTGTGGATTATGAGTATCAATGCAACACTACAATTTTCATCAAATTAAAATACAGGACTTCAATCATAAAAAACTACTGCCTACTCTTTTTTTGGGACACCCTGTCTAAAAATAAATATTTTTTTAGATATATATGTTGCAAAGAAAACAATTACTTTTAGTCAGTACTTCTTTTTGTATTTCAGCAAACAACGGCGTTGTTTATTATAACGAGATATTGTTTTCCATTGTTAAAATTATGAGAATGAAAAAAGTAATTTGTTACGGTAGCCAAACATGCAAAGTTTATGAAATAAAATATTGTCAATCTTATCGAAAGCCTTCGAAAAATCAGTGTAGATTACATCTACTTCAGTTTGTTTAACAAATAGCAAGTGACTCACACAATTATCGATTAATCACAGCTGAATTAACTGTAGTTGATTGCTTATACATAAATCCGTACTGACACGGAGAAATTGAAAATTTCTCTTGAAATATGACAGATATATCCATCAAAACTTCAAAAGCCTTCGTGAATTTGAATAAAATTGATATGGCTTTAGATCTTTAAAAGATGAAAATAGGACAAACTCTAGCCAATTTTCCCGTATCTAAAAAAAAGTTTTAGAATGAACAATTAATTACACCCTCGCAATTTGTTGTTGGACATTTTTCTCAAAATAGAAAACCTTCCTTATTCAAAACACGCAAGAGGTTGATGCAATTTAGACAGTAAATTGTTTGGCAAATCCTCTCTTGTATTTTGTAGGAATTGAAAACCCGTCTGAAAAATTTCACAAAAGTCGACTGAGATTATTAGATATTTGCGATGAACATTCCTTATTATAAAATTGCATATAGTTTAGATCGAAGAAAATACAAAAGTGGTTGAAAGAAGTACCTTCAGAGGTGAGAAGTATCTGAGAAAGACACAAAGATAGTAGAAACCCAAATACAGAGATGGGAGGTGCTCTCAAAAAAGAGAATGCAGGCACCCAGGCCAAACAAGAAAAATTAGAGGCTCTGGAGATATTTGCAAATTCAGAAGGTGAGGTACCTTGAGCTAATAAAATCGCCTACTCTAACTGAAACACCAAAACAAATGCAAATAGTTCCAAATGAATTTGATTCTGAAAGGGGTCGGAGCAAGCTAGAAAAAGTTCTCGGTTTCTCTGATGCATGAAGGAAATATGCGAGGCAAGACAGCCACGATTCTCGCTCCCAATGCCGTAGCGGGCAAAGTGCTTAATATGGAAAGTATAAAAGTGGGATGGACAAATTGTCCATCTTCGAGAAGATAAGACTAATAAGATGCTCCAAATGTAACAAATGTGGTCACAAAGTGAAATAATGTAGAAGAAAAGCGGCTGCATGACGAAGCGACATCACTGGAAAGTGCCTAAAATGTGGGGAATCTGGACACCAGAGCCTGAAGAGCCTAAAAATATGTTTTCAACATTCATTAGATCAAAATGCATTTCTATGAATTCGTAATGTGTCCCATTCTCTACTCTAAAAGGCATTTTTGCCATGACCTTGACATCGAATTCAGTAATAATAATAATGATAATGAACATTTTTATTGGAGGTCGAACAGAGAAGGAGGTCCACCAATAGACAGAGTTAGCTTTCCTTGGTACCACATGGAACAGACAAATGCTCTCTTTTACTCAACTTTAAGAAAAAGAAAGAAAAGAATAAAATGGCGACTATAATGAAATTAATGTGCAATTATGAAATGACTACCCTTCACGGAAAATAAAGCATTCAGTGGGGAAAAACAAAATTAAAAAAAAAATAACTCAAATGCAACAATAAATCAACCTGAAACTGAAAAGTTATTGCAGTATAGAGAAGAACTGTCAGAAATTCAGCTCACATTCGTGAAGTCTTCTTTTCATCTGTCGCTTGAAACTCAAAATATTTTATAATGTTTGATTTCCCAAAATATTATTTTGACTGAATATCGTATCAACACAGTTCTTGGGAGTGCAACCTTGGCCTACCTGAAAAGGTCACTAATTGTCTTTAACGTCATTTCGATTACAGGTTGATTCATTTTCCGGTTGGAGGAGAAATTGAATTTGATATTTTGTTGTTTTACTAATTACTTCCATTCAAGTATATCGACAACATTTTTTGCGATCCAAAGAACGCTGAAGGGGTAATTATTTCTGCAAGGCTTTCCGATTTTCTCTCTCACTAATACGTTTACTGATATTCTTCGAATGTTCTTTGAACGTTTGCTTTGATATCTTGTTCATTCATATTATTCAATTTCACATATATTTGAAACTGGCCTAAATACACAAGGAATATTACTTACCACAAACCTTTATCGGTGCCTCCAACTCTAACAACATGGGTTGATTCATGAAGATGCGCATAGCATTGAAACATAAGGCTTTCACATCAGATTCGCTCAAGTTTATCATCTTTTGTTTTTTAGTCTCGCGTACTGAAATAGAAATTAGTTTTAGAAATTTTGATACTCACTGTATATTACATTATCATATTTTCTGTCCTCTGTCCATTGGCCTAATTGAATTTCAATTAGAGTTTTGTTGTTTTTTAGTGCTAGAATCTTCAAGAATGAGGATTCAATAACTTTTTTATGCCACTATCGGAATTGGGACACTTCTATAGATCTTTTATGGTTAATGCTTTGTTTCAAATGATATTTTTTGGTGACGATCAGTGGAATTCGATTGATGAATTGAACAAATTTCCAGCCGCTATAAGAAACCACAAAAAGTCACTGGGGATGCAAACAATCCATATAAGTTGATAAGTGGCATTTGGAACCTTTGGCGTGAAATTAATTCATTGAAAATAATTTTTTTCACCAAAAGAAAAATGCTGTCTCTCGACGACAGTTTCGCTAGCTAAGTTAGCATCATCAGAATATTTGTTTGAAAATCTGTTTTTACGTTAACTAGCTGTCGACCCCCTACGAACGACAGCCTTCAGGCTTGAACCACCGTTTCACCTGACGGTCGATTGTATGTGTGGAACAAACTATTCACGCAAACCCAACCGGCTATCGTCCTATCACTAAAACAACAACGATAACTGAGGAAAACCGTGGCATTAACAACAGGCTGGAAAAGAGAATGTACATATTTGAAAGAGCACTAAAACAAATATGAAATCATTAATGAATGGTTGTCTACCCATTCAATCGACTGTAAAGTGAAACGCTGCCCGACGTCCGAACGACTGATTTTCACTGAGTATCGTCCAACCCGTGCTAGGGTCGTATGTTAAAAGGTAAGACCTCCATAATCCGGATTCCTTAAAAAAATGCATTATATTGCCTTGAACAAGTGGTGAATGATGACCTCTACGTCATGATTCCACAAGTGACTAGTAACTGTATCGCTGTTATTAAAATATTGGATTACACCCATGAAAAATTAAAATTTTTGATAATGAATGAACTCTGAGCAGATATGATTATTGACAATGATTTCTTGAAGGAACATTCAGATGTTGAAGTTACTTTTAATGGACCAAGAGATAACCTTACAGTGTGTAGTTTGGCTATTTCCCTTGACTGTAAATATATGTATTGCTGTTAGATTTTATTGACATAATCCTGATGATCTGAAGTTCATTGCGGCAGAAGTTCTCAGATTATTGATGAAAAACATTATAGAACCAAGCAACTCATTCTGGCGTATGAAATTTTAATTACAACTAGCGAAAGTCATTAAAAAATAATGGTTATCGTACCTACTTGATGCATTTCATTAATCTAAAATGACTTCATGCATATGTATGTGTAATTTTCGGAAACAAGTGTTGCCCATCCTCACACTTGGCATGCAAATTAGTCCGGCACCATTGCCAACTCCGTTATTATTGATGCTACGAATTCGGTAAAATAGGTAAACTAGTAGCAATTTTAATGGCCTCCTCGATGCCAAAAACAAAAAAATACAGTCGCGTTTTCAAAATATTTCATAAAATGATATTTTTAACAAGTAAAAAATAGAACGATTGAACAAAAAGTAAAGAAATATAAATGAAAATAAAAATAAAAAGTTAAGAGATTCCAAGCCAGGTTAGTTCACGACGTTTCGATTGTTAGTATCTACAATCGTCTTCGGGTGATGACTGGACTGATTCCTCCGAGAGATGACTATTTATGGGTCGTTCGAGTACTCTCACTTATCCCCCGGCCATCTCCCACTGGGTCAGTGGGAGATGGCCGTTTGGCGGGGGTTGACCATTTTTTGCTTGATGATGGGTTTCCATATGTTGCGTATCTCTACGCTAGCTTGGCTGAATACGTTGTTGGACAGCATGTATGCGGCTTCCTTGAATTTTTTCCTAAACCAATATTCCTTTCTGTGTATGATATCAGCTTGGGACCACTCGATGTTGTGTTGATGGTCTGCTATTCCTGATTTGCTGGTTTCCCCTCGCTGTATGTGTTTCTTGTGCTCGGCAATGCGAACATTCAATGGCCTCTTAGTTTCACCAACATAGGATTTTCCGCACGCACAGGGTATCCGGTAAATGCAATGCTTGGAATCGCAATCCGCGTTTGGTGGCCTGGTTTTCGTGAGGCTGCTACGGATAGTGTTACCGGATTTGAAGCAGGTTCTGATGTTGTATTGGAACCAATTCTTCTTATCCTCTCCGATAATCCTCTGGTGTAAGGAAGTGCAAGCACTGGTTGTTACGGTTTCTCTTCCTTGCGAGGCTCCTGCTGTCCTTTAGCCAAAGTCTTTTCTACCATCGCTTTGGAGTAGCCATTCCGTTGAAGATCATTTTTGATGATGTCAAGTTCCTTCTCGAGACCTTCCTTCGTATTACAGAGCCCGAAAGCACAATCTAATAGAGTCTTGATGATACCTCTTTTAGTCGATTGATGGTGGTTGGATTCGTCGTTCATATACTGTCCCGTGTGAGTGGGTTTTCGGTATACAGATGTTTCCCACTTATTGTCGGTCCTCTTCACCAAAACGTCTGAAAATGGCAATTCGTTGGAATATCCTAACTTTTTATTTTTATTTCATTTCAGGTTATTTTTGCTTAATATAATTGTTATTTTCAGCTATTCATTTTTAATTCTTCTTTTTTTTAGTTGTTTCAGGGATTTCAAATCAATTTATATATTAGACAATGGAAGTCCGAACTTGTGAAAATCATGCATTTCGATTTGTAAAAATCTTCTTAACCCTGCAGTGGACGCGTCGGGTCTATCAGGCCCAAGCAATCGTAATTGTTTGCGTCATTTTGACATAAAAGCGCGTATCGTGCTATGAGCCTCAGTACCTTCGAGTTAGCCCACGGTGCATGTACTACAGTAGTTTCAACGCAGTGTATTAGATAACAACGATTTTAGAGCAGATTTCGGTCTTGCAGACCCAACGCGTTCCTTTTTGTAAGTATTTTTTCTATATATCTGAAATAATTTCATCCCTATTTTTGGATTCAAGGCTTCAATTTCATTGAAAAAAATCTATATTTCTTACAGAATAATGGACGAAAAAGAAATTGAGAGATTGACTCGGTTGTTTGAAGAAGTTCCATCTGATCTGGAACATTTCTCAGACTCCGAAGACTCAGTGGCGAACCCACAGCATGAAAATTTCAGTGATCATAAATCTCATAGCGAACAGGAGATAGAAGAACAATTACTCATTCAACCCAGTGTTGGTGGGCGCAGTCATCTACAATATAATTCAAAAGATGGAACGAAGTGGAATAAAATATGCCATACCAGAAATATAAGAACTAGACAAGAAAATATTATTGTGAGTTTGCCCGGAGTAATTGGTCCTGCGAAAAATGCATCTTCTCCGATAGAAGCCTGGCAGCTTTTTTTCGATGACAACATCATCACGGAACTAGTGGAAAGTACAAATATATATATCGAAAGTATAATCCATCGATATAAAAACAAGTCTGATGCAAGACCAACAGATATTTTAGAAATGCGTGCAGTTATTGGGCTTCTTTATCTAGCCGGGGTTTATCATGGAGGCCGAACCTCAATTTTTGAATTTTGGTCCAAGGATGGTACAGGTGTAAGTGATCTTTCCGGCAACAATGACACTCAGAAGATTTCGATTTTTGCTAAGATGTTTGCGTATGGATGACATCAAGACGAGAGAACAACGGAAAAGTCAAAATAATTTAGCTCCAATAAGAAAAATATTTGGCGAAGTAGTGGAGAACTGTCAAAAACACTACTCTATTGGGAAATATACTACAATCGATGAAATGCTGTGGTCTTTCAGGGGCCGTTGTCGTTTTAGGATGTATATTCCAAATAAGCCCGCTCGATATGGAATAAAGGTATTTTCATTAGTAGATTCAAGGTCATTCTATACTTACAATATGGAAGTATATTGCGGTAAACAGCCTCCAGGTCCTTTTTGTGTTAGTAACAGTTCGTCTGATGTAGCGAGTAGGCTTTGTTTACCACTGTCAAAATCTAGGAGAAATGTTACAATGGATAATTGGTTCACTTCCGTTGAAGTGGCCAATAATTTACTGAAAAATCATCAGCTGACAATCGTAGGAACACTTAGAAAAAATAAGAGGCAAATTCCCGATGATTTTTTTACTAAACGACCAGAAAAGTCGAGCATGTTTGGTTTCACAGAAGATGTGACTATCGTTTCATATATACCGAAAAAAAATAAGCAGGTTATTTTATTATCAACCTTTCACCATGATGATTCTATTGATGAGACATCTGGTGCAGAGGCGTACAATTCGACCAAATGCGGAGTTGATACAGTTGACCAACTTTCTGCTAAATATAATGTTGCGAGAAATACACGTAGGTGGCCCATGGTAATTTTATATGGGCTCCTCAATGTTGCTGTTATAAACGCCATGGTTATATATAGGAGTAATTCAAATGGTACCAATTCAAAAAATGAAAGAATAATTTTCCTGAAACAACTTGGTACTGAACTTTTGATGGAATACATGAAGAGCAGAGTGAACTCGCAATATCTGCCAAGAGAAATTCGACAGCTAGCAGCTAGAATTGTGGTACTGTGTTGGTTGAGCGTGTCGAAAATGAACAAAATAAACGTGGAAGATGTGCCTTCTATAAAGATCGGAAAACAAAATATACATGCCGGTTCTGTAAAAAAAATATATGCCTAGAACATTCTGTATCTGTTTGTCAAGTATGTACTGCAAATTTTTCGGAATAATTGTTAGACATAGTGTTTAGTGCAACGATACCAAAAATGCATACTGTTTTTATTTTAATTCGATTTTTTTTATGTTTTGAAAATATGACATTATTTTCCTTTCATTTCATAACTATTTGTCCATATAAATGATTTATGTAACACTTTATCAGAAATAAAAATTCATTTGAAAAATTTGATTATTCTCGTTTTGGGTATATCAGACCCAAGGCGTTCTTTGATGTAAAAATTAATGACGCGTCTGGTGCAGGGTTAACAACAAAGCTTATATCACTTTTCTTCCTAAAGTTGAAATTGAATGACTAATGTGAAAATATTCATTTATTTTACTAGTACAAAAAATTTCTTTGTTTTGGCAAATAAAACCTCATGATTGTCCGAAAAAAAATAGTTAGCTTCACGAAGAAACCATAGCGTAGAAGTTTTTTCAGATACAAAACTTTTTCTATTCCGAAAGTTTCTAGCCGAAACACCATTAGGTGAAGTTTCATTACTATATAAAAACTCTGCTTTCATATATTATGATCTATACATTTGCAATGAACTGTAGGTATATCTATTTATCAATTGCCTAATGAATATTTGTAGAACAAACTGAATACGAAATAGTAATATTCGTATAATTCAATGTTTTCTAAGGTCTAACTTCCAAGCTTAATCTGTACATCTTTCTAAAGAGTTTATTTTAGAGTTGATTCCTTTCTTTGGATGTTTCCTCAAATAGGGAGCCAAAAAGCTTTTTCTCAAAAACGTATTTCTCCTGAAAACATATTCCCTTTTCAATTCAGAGAAAAAAAACAGTCGATAGAACATTAAATTGCACTGCACTGATTTTGTCAAAATTATACAAATTTTCCAATGCTAATGCTATATCTATTTTCTAGCTTTTTGGAGGATCTGAAAGAGAATTTTTGCTATGAACCATCAAGAATTTTCAAACTGAAAGCCGAAGTAAAAAATTTCTGCCTCTGCATATATTTTCTTTCAAATATGTTTACTTTAATCTTTGATATCTTTTGCTATCAATTTCTTATTCAAATATTGCAATGAGATTGCTAGCAAGAAACACAATTTGGCCAATGGCAGCTTCGGTTAGAATGAAAGAACGTTTTTATTAAACACATCGATGTCGTTTCAAATTATGAAATATGGCATGAAAACTATATTTAAATCAAACAGATACTAGTATCTCAATGTTATTACAAATTTGAAAATAACCAAGAATTTTTGCTATCAATTTCTTATTCAAATATTGCAATGAGATTGCTAGCAAGAAACACAATTTGGCCAATGGCAGCTTCGGTTAGAATGAAAGAACGTTTTTATTAAACACATCGATATCGTTTCAAATTATGAAATATGGCATGAAAACTATATTTAAATCAAACAGATACTAGTATCTCAATGTTATTACAAATTTGAAAATAACCAAGAATTTTTCCATTTAAAACAATACGATCTTTTCACGTGAGACCGTGTCACGTGACACAATATCTTTGCTCTCATTGGGGTTACCAGAACATAACCATACTATGTTACTTCATTGATAAAAATCAGAAGTGCGGTTTGTTGTACATAACTCTTTGGTCCATCATTTCAATGATCATAAGATGGCAGGCAGCACAATCAAATCTGTAAGAAAACTTGCCTTACTCTGATTTGGTCAGACATCCATTCCACCCCATGAATTATTCCTTTTTGTTTGCATGGGATGGAGGATGCAGAAAATTTACGAATCATCAAACTTCAACGATAAGTCTGTCATTACCTATGTGAAGTGTTACAAGAGTTGAATAGTATTTTATGTGTGAATAGGCCTTAATTTTTTATTGGGATACACTATTGCGTGCTATTTCTACAACTCAACTTTTTAATAGTTTATTAATTTGGGAAATGTACTGATTTAAAAAAATATACCATCAAAAATATTATTTTCTCACAAAGATAATACGATAACTGTACCTATGAGTAAATATCTCGAAGTAACAATGTTGACTTCAATCAAAAACAGCTCTGACTCACCCTCTTTTGAAGTTAGTGTCGAAATTATTCTGTCAACGTCCAAAGGTTTCTCCATTTCGATATATCATACCTAACACAGTCCATTGAAGTGTAATAATAAGTTGTATGGCAAATAATTAAAAGATCAATAATCGATAAGATAAACTGATAAATTTTTTTTATTTAAATGTACACAAAGGTGGCAATATTTGAAAGTGTGGATTTTTTAGAACATAAATTGCTCAGAATGTTAGGTATTTGCAAACTAAAACCTCTACCTATGATATCTCTACTTATAATATCCTACCACTACGTGGTAGGATATTATAAGTAGTAGTATTTATGATATCCTACCACTACGTGGTAGGATATCATAAAAAAATGATAACTTAAACTTGCTATATTTTTTACCACTTTTATTTGTCTTTATAGAATGCAACTGCAGTAGCGTCAGTTACAAATAAAAGTGGTAAAAACATAAGAAGTTTTAATTCTCATTCATCATGAACCCTTTTATTTTATAAATGTATGGTTATAAATAAACTTTGTCATGAGTTTGCTTGCAAACAGAAGCGTTATTGATAGTTTTCTCAAGAATGCATAGGGATAGAATATATTTAAAATTGATTTTGGAAGGACGACAAACCTACAAGTAGAAACTTATGTGGGCAAGCATTGTTGAGATTTTAACTTTCAACGTGTGATCTCTAGTTCCACTCGAGTTTCATTACCAACCCATCTTGTAAAACAGGGTGTAGTGATTCAAATTCTAGTTCTTGGATCTTATTAATACACTAAAAAAACATTGCATACGCAGCACATCAAAAAGTACATTTGAATATTAATTTATATGATGATGATGAATATTAAATTGCACCCGTGTGAAGCCGCCCTGGCTTCACAAGGGTGCAATGCTTCCCAGTTGGAATAATTAAAAATCCTTTCTTATTGCACATCTTTAACATAAAACTCCCCAAAATATAGTGGTACGGAGAAATTGTGAAAAAAAGAAAAAAGTTGTCATATGTAAACGTTCCCCCTCTTTCCCAGGGGGCGCCCCAGTTGGAATATTCAGAAATCCTTTCTTATTGGAGATCTATTACATAAAACGAACCCGCATACAAAATTTCAGCCTTCGAAACAGTGATGAAAAAGTAATTTTCATATGTAAACGCATCCCTTTTACCCCCACGGGGGCTCCCCAGTTGGAATATTTGAAACTCCTTTCTTAGTGCGCATCTAAGATCTAAGAAGTACATATATACCAAATGTTAGCTTCCTGTAGAACTCAAAAATACGGAGAAACAGAGAGATGAATGATTGAGTGTTAAGTGAGTGATTTTGCCATTTATAAGTACAGATTTTACTCTTCACGGAAGAACCGTATTTTTCATTATTGCGATATATTGTTGGCCCAAAAACTGCTGACAAGAGTTATTCGCACTTTCATCAAGCATTGATTTGTCATTTTCATGTGTATTGAAGAGAAGGCAATTCATTTTCTTTTCAAATGTATGTTGCCTATAACTTTATTGTGGCAGTAATTTTAGTTTTGAATTCTGTTTAGCTATAAATACACTTCTTGTAACCAAATTAGAATACCATGTACTCTAATATTGGTTTGCTTTATCTTGGATTCCTCTTTTTTTGTGGTCCTTGTGTATCAGATCGAGCTTCCATTAGAAGTTTGAAATGAAAGAGAGGAGTTTTCAAAAGCCCAATGCATTTTGATAACATACAATGCATTGGGCTTTTTCAAAATTATTTACTTTCTTATTTAAAGACTACAAAGCAGTATCGGGGAGTATCAATATTTTTGAATGAAAGTGTGTTGAATGGTTCGTGGTCAAGTTTTCCTAAAGCTCAAGTATGAAAAAAATATAAAAAATGCCACCAGAAAAACTGTTACTTCTTAACTCACCCTGTACAAAATGTTGAATTAATCAATTTTGAGATATTCAAACGATAAGCATATCAGTGTGTTACTTGGTTTGGTAACATCTTCACTTGGGTTGATTGAGAATTTCATTTTGAATAATACTGCACTCATCCTGTATAAAACAATATTTTTTATCAAAAACCAGTCTGAAAGCTTTATGTGCAAGCAATATTCGTCGCGTGAACCATTTTTATTTAGGGTGTTTTTCTGAAAGCAATATTACTCTAAAGAAATGGTCACTCATCAACTTTGACACCCTGTATCTTAAAAACTAACCATGAGATTGAGTTGGGACCCACTCTCTATGAGAATGGTGCGGGTTTTTTTAAATAGGTGTGTTATTTTTCCATTTTCATTCTTATTTCTCAATAACATATCATCCATAAAAAGCAAAACAAAACCAAAATTGTATAGTAAATGAAAACACCTTACAATCAAATAATAGACCACTTTTCCTATTAAAAAAATATGAGTTGGACCCAATATATTCAATTACAGTTTTTCCATATCTAATAGTTTGGGTGAGATGAGATGTATATAATAATATTTCGAAGTATGAAGACGAAATTTCGAGATTGAAGTTGAAATTTTGAGTTTGAGGTCAAAATTTCTAGATTAAAGTTGAAATTTCGAGTTTCATGATCAGAATTTCCCAGAAACAAATGATAAAAGTGTGTGACCTCCTGCGCTTCCGTAGGTTTACAATTCAGTTAACTAAAAATGTAAAATTATGATGTTATATACAGGGACGGATTTGAAAGTCTGGAGGCCCTGGGGCAACAAAGAAGTGGAAACTGCTAACTTTTTGCTATAAAAATATTCCGGAGAGGTGGATTGTGACATGCTCAGGGTTGTCCCTTTCCTCTCATGCAGAACTACGACTTTGTAGGCAAGTGTGGCAGACACCCAACACGGAAAAACAAACAACCCATCCAGCTAATGCCGCGCAGAGAGTTGAAGTAAAACCATCAGGCCCCTGTGCAACGTCTTCAAAGTTGGTCTATCGTTTGGTCGATCCGACCAACCGATAGACCGGTTTCGGGGTGATTGCCCCATCATCAGTACCGGGCATGGTCCCTTCAGAACGGTGTGAACCGTCCGAGTATCACGACCAAATGAAAATAATTCCAGCTAGTCAAAGAATATCTCTGCAGTTGATTCAGTGGGATGTCCACTGCGCCACCTGCAGTGTGTCCCTTATACAGTTTAATTCCTTTCTAAAGTTAGTGTGCAACGAATTTATTTTTTTAACTAACTGCGACTTATCAGCATCTGGATAATACTCTCTATATTTTCGGAGCAATTGATCGTATTGTTAATTTTTTTATATTCTGTTATTATAGTCTCTAATCTTCACATTCCACAAAGCCGGTAAGGAACGACACACCTCTATACACTCTAAAACAAAATTTTCTTTCATCTTTTCCTTTCTCAGCCATTTTTACCGTACGACAATGTTAACACTTGATAAACACAACTTTAGAGCCAGTATTGCGCAATACTGCTAACAGATGATACAATATTTACTAGATTACACAATAAAAATCAAACTGTTTTTGATTGACTCAATGTATTAGGCAATCTTTCAATGTGATCTACAGACGCTCAATATTATTGTACAATATATTGTGCAATATATTGACGAAAATATTGACCGTCTACGGGCCGCTTTAAACCAGTCATCCTCACTGTGAATGACTTAATCCAGGATGAAGGAAGTTAGTCACTCGCGCCAGCGACACGTCAGAAAGAAATTCCAAAAATGTAAGAGGCCTTTGAACCCGAAAAGTAGTGAGACTGAAAGCCTTGGCCGCTAAAGCCTTAACCATTTTGTCAATTGGTATTCTGTTTGAATTTCAAGTATCTATTCCTTGATCACAAAATTTCGTTAGTAAAATTAGTAAAATCCAGTTTTCAAAACAAATATTTTTTGACGCTGCTCCAAAGAGGTTTATCTCGTATGAGGATCGTGAAATATCACCCTAGTATAACAATAATAAATATATTTGAAATCAGGTCAAATGAAAATCTATTTAATAAAATTCATTTTATTAACTGAAATAAGTTAGATGACAACTTTTTCAAATAACAACAAACTCATGTTAAATATTCTACACAGAGATAAATTCGTGTATATACAATTTTTTTATTCAATTTTTCATTTCATTCAAATGATCGCTGAAATGTAAATATACATACACTACAAAAAACATTGATAAAACCACCTATATATCAGATAACAATCGATTATAAAGGTTTCAAAATTTGACTATATATTTAATATTCTGTTATAAACAACACAAGTGCAAAATCAATGACTCGGAAATATTATCCACATCTATACAAGCTAACTGAGTGATAAAAGTGGGGGTATTCTAATAGTAGTCGAACAAGTTTATCAATTCTTAAAAATCTATTCTTGCATGTCAAAAGGGCACACTCAGGGGACATATAGGTTTATCGGACAATAATGAATTGTGGTCAAACGTTCAACATTGAAATATTCCACAATGACGAAAACATAAAACATCAGTATAGTTTTACCATTTTCATAAACTATTCTTACCATTACTATTGATGTTCAGATATTTTAGTTTATTACGTTATATAAGAAGCCTAAAATTGCTTTATTATATATTCTTAGTGGCAGTAATACATAGGTAATTATTAAACTCTGAAATGTTTAGAAAAGCAATAAGGTACATATTTTTATTTTTATCTAATTTTATCCAGAATAAATGAAATGACTGAAGATGAGTCAAGCATAAGTAAAATGAAACACTTCTGTCATTCTGAAAAATAGCCAAACATCACATTCTATATCCTTTACCTACAATAAAGCAATCAGAAAAACTGATTACTCCAAATTATATGAGATTATTATACTGTTTTAACATTCATAAACTGGTTCAAAAACAAAAGGTCTCGTCAACCTTGATGTCCTCCGGGGCAAAGAAAAAAGTTATGTGAGTTGATTTTGCAAGCACGCATGTTATAGGCACCGCACAATTCAACAAGGTAGTAAGTCTCTCAGCTTTAGCAGTATCTCTTAAATGACATTGCCAAACACTAGACACTGAAGAGATACTTCATTTGCTAGCGATAATATTTTTCTTGGGCAAATATCTTCAATTGAATTTTTGAGACTGAGCGGGCAATGTCCAAATAGGTGGGGCTAAAGGTCACAGTTTTTCTTTGGTAGGTACCCATATTTTGGGTCCAGATTGTTCTTCAATTACTTCTTTCACTTCATTGTAGATATCTTCAGGAGTGTCACCCTGGACAACAGCTGGAAAAAGATAAATTACTATTAGATAGTGTAACATTAGGACAATTGCTTTCGTCAACTGATGTCTATAAACCCTTAGGAGTATTCTCAAGACATTTTGTATAAAAGGAGATTAGTGACTCAACAGATGAAGTATATTCAAAATGCACTTCATTGTGAGATTTTCACTAAACAGTTTTTACTTGTTTGATTGACGACCTATTTATTTTGTAGAAATTCATATTTATTATAGAATAAAGAAAATAACTTTTGTCTAATTAACCCGCTATCGCACCCCTACGAACGACAACCCTCAGAAGTTGAAAATTCTGCGATCTAAGGACTAACGTCCTTAAAAGGTCTTACCTTTTAATGTGTGACTCCTAACACGGGTTGGACAATAGCAAGTGAAAATCGAGCGTTCAGCCTGGGGCTTGAACTATCGACTCACACATCAGCCGATGACCGAGTCATCAAAGCACCCACGTCGAACCGCCCGGCTACCGACCAACAAATAATAAACTTGGTAGAAGTTAAACAAAAAAATCTTTTCTTTTTTTTTATATTAAACAGTTTTACAAAAACGCAGCACGTCTTTCGCCATAAAATGGCTTCTTCGAGCGTTACTTTACTTTAAGAGTATATATACTTTAACAATAAAGACACACCCTTTACTATTATAGTGAAGACACACCCGAAGAAGCTATTGTATGACGAAACACGTGTGGCGTTTTTGTAAAACTGTTTAGTGAAAATCTCACAATGAAGTGTTTTTTGAATACATTATCTATTTTAATCAAGTGTCGGCCAATTCCATCATTTACCTAGATGAAGTATAGTGCTAGTATTTCATTATTACTTTAAATATGCAGGAGTAATTTCTTCATAATTGGGTACCCCAAAATTATTCAATAAATTTTTCAAAGAGGTGCACAAACAATAATCTGAGGGAGATTTATATAATCAATATGTAGGAAATAATAACTTATAATTTTTTACTTTGCCAAAGATAGTTAGTTTAATGAAAAAACCCATTTTAAATCCACCCCTTTTTTAATTTATCTGAAATTTATCTTTGGCATAAAAAATGTTTACATCAAAATGTTAGTAAAAATATACTCGGATGATGTTGCTATCATAATTATTCAATGTTTTAAAATCAACATCTCAAAAATGAAAAATAAAATTTTGATATGATAACTAGAAAATGTAGTTGGGGGTCTGAGCTGCAACTTTTTTCATGTTGCAAATACTGTACAGTCGACTGTATTCGTGGAATTTAATTTTTAATTCTTAACCCCAAATGGAAGTTGAAAAATAGGAAAAATAAACTGCATATGAATCAGAATATAGAGAATAATAATAATTATGTTCAAAAAGGAACTGATTTTCAGATATTCATTAATATAGACAAAAATTAGATCAGATCTTTTTGAAAAATTTGTCGTAGGGGTCAAACTATATGGTTTAAATATGCATAAATTAGTAATAATCCATGATCAACCCAATGAAATGATATATAAAAAAAATGTCTTAATTTCTGTGTCTAAAATTAGTAAAATTAGAATGGTTGCTGAACAGCAGAGTTTGTGTTGATTATCAGTACTGACCAATAAGGTATTCAGTGAATACGGAGCAGCTGATCCCCTGAATTATTGAAAGCACTGAACACCGGCAATTTACAAATGCCATATATTTTTGATGTGAAACACCTATAGCCGCACGTAAAACCGATTGCTGGTGTGGTGACGCATGCCGTGGTGACGGGCCGCCATGCGCAAGTGATTGTGAGTTTCTCTTCCCACTGGTTCGGCTTTACGGTATCTCTTTCGTTACACTGAGATCGGATACCTATAGTGTGTTTACTACAGTATACATAACCTGTGTTTTACTAAATAAATAAGTTTTAAAAATAATTAAAAATAAAATATGTCTGATGGTGATAATTTAGAAAGTGAAATTAAACCTTCTGCACAAAGAAAACAAAATTTACAATTGAAATGTGCATTTATCTGTGCTAGGAATTACACGTTGAAATGTAAGACATAGTTAGTCCTTAGCTCGCACAAGTTTTGACTTTTGAGAGTTCACATTCGTAGGGGTACGACAGCTGGTTAACGGAAAAACAGATTCGCATTACATATTAAGCCCGAGTATATTTGATCTGCCTCAAGGGTCAGTAAATGTAAAATCTACTGTCTTGGTAGATTAAAATTTACAGAATTTTCATAGCATATAATATTTTTAAATTGATTATTAATTACTTTTAAATGAATTCTTATGAAAAATAATGCACTAAAACACTTTCTTGAAGAATAAATTTCATAAAGACTGATAAAGTTGTATTTCAAAATCAGTTGATAGCGATTAACGCACGATCGTTTTTTTTAATTGTTATTGAAAGGAACATCAAAAAATTTATGAATTATTTAATTTTCTATTGATGGTGGAATTCATATTAAAACCTATTTTTAACTAAATATATAAGTACCTAACAATCATCACAGGGATCACAAAATATTATTATTGATGTTTCACATCTGCCAGGCGTACCGTGACAATTCACAATTTTTTAATATTAATTATAAACAATTCAAACACTAATTCATTAAGGTTAGTGAATTATCATTCAAACTATCCAAAATGCTGCCAATGACGCATTGACACCAAGTGGATATAAATGAATTAAAATGAATGATGTGAGTGAAATTTATTATATTGGTTTGAAAATGTCCTTATTGGATGAAATTGCGGTAACGTTAGTTACGAATAAAAGTGATAAAAAACAGAAAGTTTCAGTTCTCATTTTTCATGATAACTACGTAGCAACGGCTGACTGTTAAAAATCTGTTTTTTCTTCAACCAGTACCCCTACGAACGACAACCCTCAAAAGTCGAAACTTGTGCGAGCTAAGGATTAACGAGGTCTTACCTTTTAACGTGTGATTCCTAACTACATCCATCAATTTATTATTACTTTCCCGATAAAAGGTAGGACCTCATCAATTATAAGTTAGTTTTCGACTTTTGAGGGTTTCCAAAAATGGGTTATTTTAAAACATTTCAAACCCATGCCAGTTCACTGATGAGGACGAAACTTATGCGAGCTAAATATTAACGAGGTATTACCTTCCAACATGCGATTCTTAGCAATACAAACTGTGAAATGAAAAGTGAAAATGTAAGTGAATAATCGCTAAACAAGTATTTTACATAATGCATGCATGCTTGACGTCATGTAGAAAAAGGTCAATGTATGTTACTGGCAAATTATCTGATCCAGGTACAGGTATTAGCACTCCAAACTACCTGCTGACACAACATAAAAACACGTTATGAAACCGCAATATTCAGTCATCATTTATTAACCCAGGATGTATAAATCTCTGAAGAAGCTAGCCACTCGCGCCAGCGAAACGTTAGGAAGAAATTCCAAAAGTCCACGGTCTTTGAACCCGAAAAATAGTGACATTAATATTATTAGCACATATTATTTGTTTAGTATTCTAAAGTGGAAATTGGCGGGACCCCGTCGCCGTTATCAACGATCTCGTTCATAGATTTTGTATTCAATCAATAATTTGACATATCTGTGCCTGAACATTATTGAATAATTTTCATTCAACCAGAACTTTTCGGAGGCTAAGGTATCTGTATAATTTCTTATTTTTTGTTTGATAGGCGAAATTATTAAATATGATAAGATAAAAATACATTGAATTTTCACAGTAACTAATCGGAGTAAACGGAAAAGATTGCGAAGAAAAGAGAAATGAAGCTTTTTATGTTTTTTACCACTTTTATTTGTTTTTCTCAAAAATATTTGTTATGTTCCCTTAATTGGCATAACTTTTTTTATTTATGAGCCAATAGAAATGAATTAAGTAGTGAATGTTGAGAAAAGTTCACCACAATACATTAGTGAAAACCTCGTCAAAATTGGTTAACCCCATTTGATAATTAGCATACAAACGCTACTGCTTTATCAAGTACCACCGATAATAGTTATTCTCAAATATCTTCCAGGTACAGTGATTAGTTAAACTTCAATTATATGCGTTGATTGAACTTCCTACTGAAAAAAATTAAATAGCTCTTAATTGTTTAGTAAAACGTTTGTCCGGTCAACTATGAGTAGAAGGTATATTATAATTTTTTTACATACCTACCAATTTGGGCAATGAGCAACATAGTGATTGTTTGAATATTATTATGAGTGGCCAATATTGTTATCAACACAAGCTTTTTATTTATCCTTGAATTCATGATATTCTCACCTGTGAAATATTCTCCAAACTCTTGCTCCATTTTAACAGCTCTTTCAAAAGTTTTCTTTGCCTGTTCCTCATTCATTCGTTTATTCATTTCCCTAAAAAATTCAAATTACAGTAAACATTTTATTCTGTGCCACTATTAAAATCACTTACATTATTGATTCTACCGATTTTGGTTTGATAAAAATTGCTATGGGATACAATTGAGCAACTTGCAACCGTTTTATTGCATTGCCACTAACATCTAGTATACAATGTTTGCCCTGAAAATAAATTGAAATCATTGTAATAAATATGAATCTAATTTTCTTTTCATATTTAACAGATAGTTGAGACGATTGTGTGATTCAAATTAATTAAAGATTGAATAATGATAAATGTTTCCTGTTTTCAACTGTTGTTGTTTGATGTGATTATAATAATAACAATACAGAAATAATAAAGAAACAAAAATATCAACTGAACGATTTCTTGAGTCAGGAATACTGAACAGCAAAAAAAAAACAGATTTTAAATCAACAAGAGATCTTCAGATGTTGAAAATTATTTAAAATGATACTATGAAAAGGTTAGTTTGTGATGAAACTCGAAAACTACTAATTTTTTCATCTGTAGAAAGCTACTGTACGAGCAAGTAATATGGGCTCTCAGTAATGAAGTGAAAGTGACATGCCTCATCTTCGAAATTGCATTTTAATGTGAGGTGAATAATAAAAACAATCAATGAAAGATATCAAAGTGAAACTCCAATAATTTCAGAATTTAAAATTTTAATATCACATATGTATAGTAAAAAATATTACTATTATTCGATATAAGTTTCATATTTTATCCACGTATGATGAAATAAATTCCTCTTTGAAAACAGAAATTTAATTATTTTACAAAATCAAAATGGTTTTGTGTAGTTGTTTTTTCAAATATATTCAGTATGACATATGGTTCTATGATATCAAATTTTTTTTTTATATTTATACAATTGGTAAAGTGTACTCTGAAAACTGTCTGAAGATGATCGTGCAATTAAGTTCAACAATTCTTGTTAGAATCAAATATATCTATCGTTGTATTAGCCAGGGAAGGTGTTTGACAAACAGGGCCGTCGCGACAGAGGAGTCAGCAAAAAACTAAATGTTGACAATTTGTGGGTAAAAAAATACGCGAGCTGAGAAAATTATTGCTGTGACTAAAATGTGGAGAAAAACAAAAATGAAGCACAATCAAATATGATTTTAATTTCTCAACTAGTTAATATCTAACTAGAACATTTCCCAATTCAATGAGAGAGGTCTTTCATGGAGGGCAGAAGGACAGAGGGTATGAACACAAGTAAGTAGGACAATGTGATGTGGGCAGTTGGTAATGCGTAGAGGAGTGGGGAGAGAGGAGAGGGGGGAGAGTGCAATCATCTCGTAATTCATCTTCAACATCTCTTCACCTGTTCTCGTTCAAAAACGATTCTACTGATTCAACCATTTTTAGTTTTTTCCTTTTCTCTTTTTACTTTGCCTTTGGTACTTGTTTCTTATGGCGATATTTTTTAATAATAACAATAAGTCTCTAAGTCAAGAATCAAACAACTTTATTTCAAATGTGTGTCGATTAGATAATTCAAAGTTGGGAAAAGTTACTTTCAACTTACAAAATTTGTAGATTCAGTCCCGATAGATGTGAGGTATTGATATTCAAAATGTTATTTGAAATATTGATTTTCAGTATTTAAAGATTTATAAAAAATACTACAAGTGCTTCTTTCAATAGTGCTAATGATTTCTGTCATGTTTGTGTACTTATTTCTTGTTAGACTGCTCTATAGAAACTAATGTGATGAATGGCTAGGGGGATTTATTTGACCATGATTGTTGAAGCCTCTCACCTAATTCAGATAAAATATTAGTTCATTAATTCTCCCAGATCATTTACATAATATAAGTCAAATCATAGTTGATAAAGATGAAACATAAGTTTGATGATTAAATAGGTATTACCACATAAGGGCACTAAATAATTAATTATTTCTTTTCCTAATTTCAATATGGGCTTACTAAAAGACTTATTCAATTTGTAACTTTTACTAGAATAAGTATAATTTCGATATTATTCGGAGAAAATTTCATCACTATATAATGAGAAAAATATGCTTTTACTGACTTTAATGTGTTACTTGTAAGGTGAACTATGTAGTCCACACATGATAATTATCAATAATATTTACCTTATCCGCAACTTCTCTAACAGAAGCTACTGAAGTTCCATACAGGTTGTCATTATACTGGCCAGCTTCAATGAACAGATGGTTCTGAATATCTTTTTCCATCTGTTCTCTGGATGAAACAAAGTGATAATCTCTACCATCAACTTCGTATTCTCGCTTTGCCCTTGTAGTATCTACAAAAACAGTTTATTATGTATCATTACAATATTTATCTAATTTCAGAAATTTATTGAAATAATTGAGAACAACATTCTTTGAAAAAATACTTACGAGGGACACAGCTTCCAAATTTATCAGGAAACTCTGAAATCAGATCGTCATTGATACGGTCCTTAAGAGGACCTAGTATAATAACAGGTCGAGTATAATTAATCTGTAACTGTTGTACTGGTTCGTACGACAGAACATTTTCTTCGCCACCTGTAAAAAAAAAATGAAAATAATCATCACTGGAAAATGTTAGTAACTAACAATGAACTAGAATGTTTCGGACTTTGCTGTTATTGTTGAATGTAGTGAGAATATTTTGGATAAAAACATTATTTTAATGATAATTACTTTGTCACGCTGATAACTACGATATTAGTTCATGAAATAAATGGTTCTGAGTAGAAATGAATTTAAATTCAGGGTAACCATCCAGAGGATCCCCATCTATACATGTACAGAAAATTTGACATATCCACATATTTTATTCCAAAAAAATAACAACATTTTACTACTCATTGAATTATTCTAATGGTTTTTGAAAGTAAGAAGTTGAAGGTTTCGTAGAATCACCTATTTATAGATTACTGTTTAGAAAATACTCTCTTTGATAATATACTGAAGGAGAAATAGAAAATCAAAAAATGAGTTTACTGGAATAGGTATGCTTTGTTATAATGAACAAAAATGAAAACGACTATGTCTTTGAATTCTTTTCTAAATTAAATAATTCAATGCCTTGGTGGTTGAAGAGTTGAAATATTTCAATTGTTACTTTGTAATGGAATAGTGTTTCCAAAAATTATGTTCTCTCCAATTAGTGGGATGGAAAATGGTTCAATATTTTGTACCTTTTTTCTCAAATGGTGTGGAACTGCTTTTTGGTATACTGGTCTTTATAAAGAATCACACCAAATAATGTTTCAATATTTCACGAAATTTAAAAATCTTTTGACATTATAAATTCACAGACTAGTGAATTAATTTGTATAAAAATTCGTCGTCAATTTCATCAATTGACTATAATTGACAGTTATTTTTGACAAGTAGAACAAAAAAGCAAAGTCGAAACATTCCCAAAATAATACCAATATTACTGATTTCAACGAATCTAATGTGAATATTTTTAGTAAAAATTTCTCACTACACTAAAAGCTAGAAAACTGTTCGACTATAAACCTACATAAGACTTATGACAAACACTACAAGTAATTTTTGAAGTGATTCCCTAAGAAAGAAGCTAAAACATGTCAAAACCGTCTAAAAATGCATAGAATATCACATTCACATGTCTGCGGTCAAATGAATTTACCATAGATAGAAGATTTTGAAAAAACAAATAATTCTGAATTGCCTTCAATCATCTGTATTTATCAAAAATGTTTGATTCAAATTTTAGTCAAAATTTTTCATCAGTGACTTTCGAATTGATTGTTTTTCATTTTAGTTGAGATGCATTCTACATATTTTTTAATTTACTTTAACAAATAAACTAAATTTTTGGGAGGTACTAAAGAGAATTACCTATCACAAAAAAGTATTTACAAACAAATTAGTTATTAGTAAAAGCTACTCCAATATTTTTTTTGATAATACAATAAAATGAAAAGTGCCCAATCCTATCAATAAACAAAAATAATCACACAAACAAAACAAAATCACATTATTTTCAGTCGTCAAAAAAAGTGACGGGCGAAAATGAATCTATGATCGTGAAATCAATTAGTCAAAAAACGAAAACATTCAAACTCTGGGTTAATAAGGAAGTTAATGAGTATAAATCAATTCACTGATTTTTGCATTAGTGAGGTGATAGAAGTTTGGCGAAGCAACAAGTTGATTTATATTTTATTTCTCTCAAAGTAGGTACACATGATTGCATGAAATATTTTTTAAACTGAAATACCGCACAACCGGGTTATTAGTGAAGTGTATTTACATCTTCAGAATAAACCAGCTTTAGGTGATATATTTCTCATAGTTTAACCATACAAAGAGCTTAAATATTTTTGTCCCTCCATAACACACAGACAATTGTTTGGGCATTGATGATAACCCACCTCCACCATTCAGGTTAGAACGAGATTGAGGTTATGAAGGAATTATTCATTGATGTTGTCAAAATGTCACTCTTTTATCTTAAGAGTTATCCTCAGAATCACAATCATATTGATAGGTATCTGAAATGAAAAATCCGACATTGTCTTAAAATAACCCTAACCTAAAACATTTGCATGAAGGTTTAAGAGGAATAAGCCTCTTACACAAAAACGTATTTGTCACGTGTGATTTTCATCGTATTCGGTTCTGTGAATCTGCTTCAAACTCCTACTAAAATGTAAGGAGAGTATATAAATAATTGATTGTATTCACTGCGATATCATTATTTGTAAACAAATATTTCTTCAGATATGCTCAGACGTTGACAATGTACATATGTATTTCAGTTTATTAAAAGAAGTGTAAAACTTTGTATAATCACTACACTGAGATGGAAATAATTCAAGTGAAAGAATACTAACAAGTTTTTTGAAAGGGATATTTTAATAAACAGCTACTGTCAACTACCTGATAACAAAAATTTGAATAGCAGATGCATGCAATGATTGATTTTGTTGAGTTTGCTCTGTTTTCACTGGTACTTGGGTCAAACAGATTCAATATCTTGTAGGAGGAACTGAAACTCTAGTTATGGATTGAATTATGTTTCACAATCATTTTTATTTGCCAACCACAAAAATCTGTAGAAACTTCTGCCAGGTAAAAAAAGACGGTAATCTTAAATTTCAACATGGGATGTACAAGGCAGTCTATATGCACTGCACATAAGGTTTGTTCGGTTCAATTATTTTTGTTATCTAGTACTCATTCAAATGTTTCTACATGATAACTTGAACGAAACAAGTGGGTATCTCTTTTAAAAGATATAAAGATATATAGTGCATACACAAAAATTTCTTTCAGAAACGAACTGGAAGAAGAAACCCTTTCGAAACAACTACCTTCACATGAGCATTGAATTACACAAAAGAAAAACTCTTTTTGAAACAACTATTTTCATACGAACACGTAATGATCATAATTTCAAAAAGTTTAAAGACATGTCGCACATTTTCCTTTTTTTAAAGATACTTTCGTGGATGGTCCATCTTTTACAGTTTCTTGCAGAAGCCTAACACAGTATAAAAGACGGAACTTTTGTAACCAACTGCAGAAAAATTATTGAGATTTGCATATTCAACAGGATCTTTCTGCCTCTCAAATCTAATATTTTACCGAACATTTTTAACAGTAAATTCTGTTCATATAGGGGTTCAAGAGCTCGTAGCTGGAATATATTGGCTCATATTTCAATATGATGAGGTATTAGGGCGGCCGTTATTAGCAAGACATCATTTCAAAAACTGGATATAACTGGCTAATACTTGATGAAAACCCATATTAACGGTAACTGATACAATTTACATCAAGATTTTCACTAATAGGGTTTTACAAAAAACTATTAAGCAAAACGAGTGTGGCGGTTTTTCAAACCATTTAGTAAAAATCCTGCAATAAATTGTACCTATGTTATTATCAAAATGCACTAAAATTACACATCTTAGTCAGTTCATTGACGAATTAGTTTAGAGTGTAAGTGTAAGATGTCAATTATATAATTTCATTCACAAAATTAATTGTATGCGCCATAGTAAAGCTCTTTGAAATCATCATACTGATTTATGTTTGACTGGGTGGCATTCCAAAATGATGCTTTCTTAATACAAAAGTAGACAGCATCTTTCTAGAAGTAGTTCAAATATACTCAAGCATACAGATACCTACTTTGTATGGTTTTTAGTATTCACCATGCTATATACTTTCAATTACGACAATTGACCTTTCATGATTTCTGTCAGACTGGTAGGACATATTCTCTGGATTTGAATTGGTACTTATTGAACCCCAATTTGAATCCTTCTACTATGTTTTTCCCAAGTGAGGTCGAAAAGTTAACAAAAACCATCGGGTAATTCATGCAAAGGATATGTACTTGGTATTTACTACTAGATTCATTTGCTGATGATTAAAATATACCTTCTAGTAAAACTGATTCATCTCGAAAGCAGAAAACATTGATAATCGGACTTTGAGTCTGCAAATGCTAGGTTGAGTTATATTAACCGCAGCACTTCTTAGAAATAAAATAAAAATCTTGTAGCAAGGACAATCCTACCAAAGTCAAAATACCCTGAACTGATATCAGTGCAGTGTAAAGGGGCTAGTTCGCCATGCAAACCACAACACTAACACTTACTAATGTCTGCTAAATTGTCATTATCTTCCAAATAAATTAGCGTTATTTCTTCCATATGGGGTAGCTCGACCCGATATAATATTTCACCTGTACTTATTGCAATACAGAAAGAAGCCAAAAAAGAAAAAAGTATATGTAGTAAACCAAAATCAAGGCGGTATTCAGAAGAAAAATGTTTTGTTGGGAAAAGTGAATACTGTACCTTCGGCATTTGCATCCTCTTGAGTATAACAAAGCATGAAAGCTGTAATCAAAAACCACATAGTTAAATATGAAAAGAATAACCCCGTTATACGGTTCACGTTATTGAAGTATCTATGCCAGTCTGTCAAATCCATTTAAATTGATTACAGAGAAAATTCACGAAATATATTTACAAAATAAAACATAGATATAAAAAAACTGCAGATTAAAAAAAATGCTAAACTGTGAAAAATACAAAATACTATTCAGAACCCTGGGATCTCATGTCATTAATAAAAAATATACAACTATACATTTGGTGATGTTGAATGAAGTAATGAAAATGATTTTTCTCAAAAAACAGTGTTTTCTGTAAAACGAAAATCAGTTTAATTTGTTAATTGTTCTTACTTCAAGCTTTATTCATTTGTCGTTCCAGTTACTATTTAGTAGCTTTTCAACAAATATAAAGGTTTTTTAATATCCAGGTTGGTATCAACTACTGGTATTTGCTAAAATTGCATATTTGTTGAAATATGAAACTTTATCTTTAAAATATAGCAAGAGGGATGATTCGTCCATTAAATATAGGGTAAAGTTTTATCATCTCTTTTGGATAATATAATGAAAAAAAATTGAAGAGCTGCCATTTGAACGCCCTCTATTGGATGTCAATACGATGAGGAAAAATATAACCTACATTATTAAGGAAAGTGCATATATTTCCAGGCATCATTCAAAGTGTTATGGATAAAACAAGATAAATTATCACAATGAAATACTTCATATTATCTACAAATTATTTTATCTACATTGGAGAATTAGTGTGAAAGCAACCACTAGCTAGCCCAAAAGCTGATGGATTAGTAGGATAACACAAAACTGTTAATATAATTTTCCCAAGTTATTACTAATGAATAAAGAGATAATTTAATCAATTTCAAAAAATAAATGAAATTATTTACTGTTAGGTACTTACATTGAGGAGGTTTTTCATTATCATTAGGTTGGTCAGAAGGGGTTTCTAAAGGTGAAAACAAAATAAAAAGTGAAAGTCATAACTGAAAAATAAATAGACCAGCATATTTTGTAACCTCAAAAAATAGAATTCAATTAAATTATCTTCAATCAAGAATGGAATTTTTAAAAGTCAAAACATTCAAGGAACCCGGCTGTCCCCTGGAATAACTTCTTATTACCAGTTTGATTACATAATATACGGTCAACATAAAAACAATCAATCGATAACAAGAAAGAATGAAAAATGTGGAGTACTTAACAAAAATTAGGAGGAAGGCATAGAATAAAAATTAATAAAACATACTTACGTTCTTGATCAGAACCATCTTCCGATTTATCATCTTTACTTTTCATGAAAGGGAATTTTCTACTGAATGAGAAGTTTTTCTTTTTTCTATCTAAGGTTGATTGCTGTAATGAAAAATGAATGAATAATATTTATACAATGGTAAGCAATACAAAACATTACAAATTATTACAAATGTAACTTAAAAAATCTGATGGAAATTTTCCCAATACGCAATTTCCCTTATGGCACTTAACATTTTTAAAGTTATTGTCATCCTCGTTTGGCGATGGATGATTGCTGTAATGAAAAATAAATGAATAATATTTATACAATGGTAAGCAACACAAATCATTGGTTGTTTGGAAATTATTACAAATGTAACTTAAACAATCTGATGGAAATTTTCCCAACCTCTTATGGCACTTGAAATTTTTGAAGTTATTGTCAACTTCGTCTGGCGGTGGAAGTGGAGAAGTGATAAAGTTCGAAAACGAGTGTCTGTCTCTCTTTAATTAAAAATCGACGACCACTCACGACTGTATTTTAGGCACCCTGCATATCATAGTGCATTAAAAAATGTCTCTATCTTGATATCTGTACATAAAAATTGATTATTTAAAAAAACAAAAAAAAATACATTTCACAAGTATGTAAAAAATTCTATATGACAAATGCGTTTTACTGTGAGATCAATTATCCAACTTCTTCATACGATTTGCGCCTCAGCACATAACATTCTATTGTTTCTGATACCCAGAAAATTGAGAAAATATTTGATATACATTCATGTATTGAAGGTCATTGAAGACCTCAAATATCGTCAATTTGAATTATGAATAGAAAAAAAAAGGAGGAAAAGTTAGCTGAAAAAAAGGAAGGAAAGTTTGGCTTATAAGAGGTCTTATTATATGTCACCATGGAGATTTCTGGAAAAGGTGTTGTATGAAGAATTTGATAAAATTCAACGCAGTCCAATTTTTATATCGCCGAAATTGAATTCCTTTCCTGATCATGTTGTTGGGTTATTTAGGAGAAAATACTCATATCGATATGAATTTTTGAATGGAGTTGAAATTTCATGTTAAATATACCTATCGGGTGACAACGATATCTTTCAGTTATTTCGTGGGTGAGAACTCTGAAATTAGAAACGTGAATATAGTTCAGTGAAGCCGATATTTCTGATAAAAAATAATTGATAATATATTTCGGTTCAATCGAAAATAAAAAAGGATTTCAAACAAAACCATGTACATTTTTTAGACCATTTCTAGAATATAAAATTCTCTCTTCAACAATATCAAGAAGTTACCATGTCCTTTCGAATAGGCGGCGTACGAGCCATTTTCTCTAAATTCAATATGACTTTATCTATGGGAAATACTGTCAAACAATTTTTTTCGTATCACAGAAGAATGAATCGCCCGGTATCGTTGACATTATTATGTAGTTCAAGAGATACATTTTTCTAATTAATTAAAAAAAATACCGCTTCCTATTAGGATTTTAAAGATAAATTAATAAAAAGTACGTGTACTGATTGAAAATTTTAATCCATGAATTTTTACTTGGAGATCGAGCAAACTTTGCTCTTCTGTTTTTCAATGGATCAAGTTGTTCGAAAATATTTCCACAAATGACGTCATGTGTCGCCATACTGACAAAATGGTCAGTTGTGCTATATTGTTGAACGGAGAATTTTATATTCTATTTAAAAATATTGGATTATATTTAAAATTCTTCACTTGGGTTCATTTCAGGTTGAATCGGAATAGGTTTTAAATGATTTTTTCATTCCGTATACAATTATTTCACCTGTTATACCAAATAATTTGAAATTTCAAAAAAAAACCTACATCTGAAGTTCAACACCACCGTTTTTATCAATGAATTATTAGACTTTTGATAATACAAAATTGAACAATAATAACCATAACAATAATAATCTTCAATTCAGACTGTGTTCTAACAAAATAGTTACGAAAAACAAAAAATGAAACAGTTTCAGTTTTACAATTTCACTATATCTAATAAAGATAGTTTAAGAATTTTTTCATTCCATATGGTTCTACTTCCACAAGGAAGATATTTTAATTTCTTCAAGTAGCATATTAATGAGACGTATGGAGGCATAAAATGGATGTTTTCTAATATATCATTTTGAATAAACACCTCATCATTCTCTTCTGAAGGGTGAATGTGTATTTGGTTCCCAAAATATAATCCTAAATCTTAGTAAGGCTTGAAAATTCTCAAAGTACATAATTTTCAATGACGTCTCAATCAGATATTTATTTACTACTCTCAAACTGTAAGATATACTGTTCAATTTTTTCGATTAGTTTTCAACTTGCTTGTTGGACTGCAAGTGTTGCAAGGACTGCAAGGAGTTTTTATTGCTCTCCTCACTGATAGGTTTCTAATAGGGTAATTTTTTCTTCCAAAAGTCATTTTTTTTAACTTCATTCTCTTCTAAAATTATCTTAAAAAACTGCATCGAATGTTGTTCCATGTACTTCTTCAGAGACTTCTCGACCGTAAATGTGTGCTCGCATCTCTCTCTTGCCCCTACAGTAATATACGATACGTAACTCTCTCTTTCTATCTTCACTAACTTATACCTCCCTCTCAACTTCTGTTCGACTCGCCCGATAACACTTTTTGTAACGCCCTCGTCATACATTCACCAGCTTACTCCCCAAGTTTTACGTCAGAAAACTCAAAAATATACAATTTTTCTACTCTACATTAACACCAATTTCAACAGTGAAAGAACCCATTAACAGATCTGTTTGGAAAATCTGTTTGAATCTGTTTTTCTATTAGCCAGCTGTCACCCCCATGAAAAGCTAAGGATTAACGAGGTCATACCTTTTACAGTCTGATCATACAATAATGCATTATGAATGATTGCATATTCAGTGAATAACAGTTAACCCTACATTCAGTATGCCATAACACTTTTCACAAAATTAATAGTAGACTGCTGTCTACATTATATTACCCAACAAGTCAATATAATCATTCACAACCAGTATATCAGGATTACTTTTTTGTTTTTTTTTCTTCATAGAAGTAAGCAAATTTCATGTATATATGTCAAGTTTGAGAACACAATAAGATATTAAATGCTTGATTGATAATTTTCAAATTCCTATTCTGATTTGATTATATGACTTTTAAACATTAATGAATAACATTGAGAATGCAGACAGAAACTCTTTTAAAGGTGTATTAAAAGAATTGGGTCGATATGGAATTACCAATACTAAATATTTTTCAACTTGTTTATAAACAAAATTTTGGGAATATGGTAAAAACATACCTTTTCGAGAATATTTGGCATGTGTCCCTGAAATTTAACAGATCTATCTCTAGCCCTCTGCTTCCTCTCCCATCGTCTTTTTGAAGGAACAATTCCCATACCCTGTTCGTCCCCTGTATTAAGTACTCGCCTTGCTTGCCACCATTCATCATCACTAGCATTTGTAACATGGAGAATATCCCCATAGTGGAAGGCTAAACCTCGGCTAGGTAAGCCATCGTCTTTCATCGGATCGTAGTCAAAGAGAGCCCTGAAAATATCAAAATAAAATAATGAATGAGTTATCAATTGGGGATGGCAAAAAAAATATAGACATGAAAGTTTCTTTATATTTGGTCAGAATCCTGATTTACTTTTATGTGTTATTTCGGAAAATGCAAATATTTCAAACATAAAATCCAACTACAGTGGTCGATAGCATTTGAATTGTATGTGAAGTCAACTTAATAAACTGAAATTTCTCTTCTTACTTTTTTTGGGGAAAAATAAAAAGCTGAATATCTAACTAGGTAGGTAGTGAATGGGTATTGGTTGAAACAAAAAGAACTAGTTTTCAGTTTTGGACTCCATCATATTAAAATGTTAGAAAATGGTATATTCCGAGGGTGGTACTATAATTTCATCAATATGCACAACAACACAATAAATTCTATAAACATTTGCAATAGATGTGGTAATTCAGATACTGAAATAATCCCGTATTATGTAAAATTTCTCCATTATATCTTTCAGAAAGTGGTACATGAAACAGTTGTGTTTGTATCAATTTAGAAAATATCTGGATACCTCTCTGTAAGGCATTGCTCCCTTTTTTTAAGTAGATCATTTGTAGTGGAAAAATAGTTATCAAAAATATATTTATTTGGTCAAAAAATCAAGTTGAAAGAAATGGAGAAAAGCCAGTTAGATAGATAGATAGATTATCTTTATTAGTTCTTTGGTAAGAAGATTCCAATGTTGTTAATCCATTACTGAGATTACAAACACTACTAGTACCATTTCGTGTAAATGTTATGGCATGCGTTTTATTGGTATTTAATTTCAGATTACTGTTACTGAAGATACTGAAGATATCTACAAAAATATAATTGATCTTTATAAAAACAATTATTAAATCAGGTTTCAGGAAGTATTGTAGATAACATCTAATGCTATTACAAGATCTGATCAATATTAGCTAATTTCTCATAATTACCTATTCATATTATTCTAAATGCTTTTAGAGCATGTGTTCACCAGCATATATGATGTTCACTAAATATATCGAGAGCATACATTGGAGAGTAACTTTTTGAGGTTAACAAAATAGAAAAATTAAAATGATGCCTGGAGTCTTGCTTATATTCAAGATTATGAGGGAAATGAATGGTAATAAATTGTACTCACATAGAACACTGTCACCCTCACTGGTATACACCGATGTTTCGCCTTAAGACACTTGCCCTAAGGCTCTTCAGTACCAAATTGGATTGGATAACATTATAGAAAATACACACACTTCATTCATGAATTACGATTTTGAATGTCAGATTACTTTCCCAAAAAAATTAATCACTCCTAAAAATATAACCCCTTCAATTCAAATACATATTCAAATTATTCTAAATGTTTTTAGAGCATGTGTTCACCAGCATATATGATGTTCACTAAATATATCGAGTGTATACATTGGAGAGTAACTTTTTGTAACTTTTTGAGGTTAACAAAATGGAAAAATTAAAATGATGCCTGGAGTCTTGCTTATATTCAAGATTATGAGGGCTTTACAATAACAATACTTTTTATAAGTATATTTCCATTATCTCTGTCAATTGTTTCATCTCCAATTTCATCTCCCATTCAATTGTGCCCATAAATTGTCAATTTTGCCACATTTAATGAGAACATACTTCCGGAACAAAGATACCTACTGACTGTCGATACGCTTTTCGCTAACCAAATCCTTCGAATTTTTGGTATTTGTGCATTTTGCAAAATATATATATATTATGTAGCATTTCCATCAAAAGTTCATACCAGTAGGATAATAAGCTGCATTGAATAATTTGTTAGGTGTCAAATTGGATACCAATTTGTCTAGGGATAATCACGTTACTTATATACTGTTATTACTCAGAAATTTGAAAGTCTATTTCGAAACAGAAAGTTGTTGACCTCTCAGCAAAGTTTAATGCCTATATATGAACTCCGCCAGTGTATCCTGCTGAATCCATCTAATTACAATATTCGGTGTCTATTGCATGCATCTTTTCACTGCCTGGGACTGAGAAGTCGTCTGCATAGCCCAGTGCTCAGTGTCCATTATGGTCCAGAAGATGAAGTAATTACAAGGTTCCATAACAATAGTGGGGACAACCCCTTATGTGTCACTACTGTCTCTCGCATGATGGTTATGTATACCAATCTTCCACCTGCAGCCTGTGTCCTCGCTACCTCTTCTTCTCGATGTCTGGATGATTGATTATATGGAAGCAGTATCGAGTTCACCCTCTATATACTGAGGCGGTTTTTCCAAATGAATATAATCAACAGCAGTGATGGATATAAGCCAATGCAAATCTCTACACAGGAAACGTTTCCAGAGCAATTAAATTATTTTTCTGCAGTGTCTGGCCTTAGTTTAGGCGTGTAATTTTTCCACTAAAAATATAGTTGAGTTAAATATCAAGCAAATACTGAACATTTATCGAAGATGTCAATATTAAATGAATCAGTGGAATATAGTAATGAATAGAAGTATCTAGTATGGAACCTAAAGTTATGCCATACTGAACACACTCTCTAATGGATGAGGTTGCACCTTTTACTAATTTGATGGTAAATCAACTAAAATAAAACCCATTACTATTTTTTCAATACGTAACGCTCCCCGACAAAGTAATCGCACAAGCACCACTCTTACAGCGCCTTAAATATATTCATGTACTGCCTGTAAAAGCCCAAAAAAAACTTACCTTGATTTCTGTTACACCTATTTGTAAACTACTTCTATAAAACCATAGGGGTGAAACTTTGCCAACAATATATGATGATCAAAGTAATAATATACTTTAGAGTAGAGATGGCCAGAGACAATGATGAAGAAAATAAATACATGGAGTCTTCTTGACAAACAATGGCTTAGCTTATCACATACCTAACTTTTGATTTCCTCGGGTCTAGCGGTTTGAAGTCGGAGACCAAGGGATTCATCATGGCTTGCTAGTATGAAATTCATTAACGAATTTCTGTAGTGCATACGTTTTCAAGTGGAAAAATCAACCAGCACTTGATCAGCTCATTGAAGTTTCATTTTTCGATAATGTCTTCTCGAACACTCTGGATTGAGAGAAAGCACATTGATGGAAAAAGATTCCGTAATTTTGCTGAAGGTATGTAGATCTGAAGCAGACCCGAGGGATGTGAAAGATAGGCAATGTGATAGGCAACTATAACGAACGCGACTGGAGTGACTGGAGGCAAGCAAGCAAGTATATAGTTACTTGAAAGTTCCAACATATAGGAAGCGACGAAATGACCAAGTTAGGAAATCTTGGATAGAGTGGCGATCATTAATTGAATAAGTGAAATGTTGATTTATTGTTGAAGTGAAATAAATCTGTTTCATGAATTATTTGAAAGACATTTTTTATGGAGGAGTATCGACTCTTAAACTTCGGCAAATTTTATTTGCTTTGACTTTGTTCATTTTTCGAATTGTGGAAGGTCATTCACCAAAAAACAGTAAGAAGAAATGTTGTACTTAGTTCTATCAGGTGTGATCTATGTTCAAGTCATCTATGAACCCATAAAAAAAATTAAAAATAGTATTACCTTAGTAAGATAAGTTTCAAAAAGCACTTGGAGTACTTTACTTACCTCACATAGAGGGATCTTTTTTGGGACGTTCTCAGTAAGGTTCCACCCGTAACTGGATTTGCCATCTGCTGTTTGAGGTCATGGATTTTGGCTTCGAATCGATTATATTCTTCAGGTCTATACTGAACTACTATATTAACAGTTTGATTGGTACCCTGAAAATAGAAGAGAATGAATCATATATTTTAGAATGAGAATAACAAAACTGTTGTCCAACTTATATCATAATTGGGGAATACCCCTTTGAAGGAATGAAAAATTCTATCAAATGGCGAGGGGAGTCTCCACTTCCATTGAATAACACTAGTTTAGAGTACATCAAAAATACCGGCTTTAATATTTTCCATGGGGGAATTTTTGACAAATGTAAGAGAAACAGTCCCCATATCTAATGATTTGAATCTAATGATTTAACAAATTGCTTCATGATGCCCAGTTTTACATGGCGGAAGGATAATTTTGTCACGACCTACCAATTAATTCTGAACTATGTTGTGCTTTCCAGGCGTCATATTTTCTCTCAAGGGCTGCTTTATTCTTAATCAGTGTTCTTGTTTAGCTCTATTGTTCCAAAGATATATAAAAGATGGAAACTCAATGTTTTCCGAGAAGAATATTCACCATTTTTAAATCAACACAAATTTGCCACTTATGGTCATTGTATTTTATTTTATCCAAAACTAGCAACTATTTCAACTTTGTACTGTGAGCAATAGGAACCCCAGCTTATTCATTTCCGTTGTGTACCAGAATACATTTTAGGCTACGTTTTGAGCTGTCAATGGATAAATGCTAGTCGTTTGGTTCCTATTGTGTCAACCCCATCTTCATCAACAATTTTTCAACGTCTGTACAAAATACAATACAGTAACTTCGTAATTCATTTTCTCTATCATGATAACAGTTATTTTAGTACCTGAAGAGAGCAAATTTTTTTCTTTCAGTCTTGATGCCAACAATTTTGAAGATTGTTTAGGGAAATTTAACTCTCTTTCAAGATCATTCAACTCATTTTGGGAAGAAAACTTTGGCTCATTTGACATACCTACGTTCAAAATCGGCATCAGTCTGCGATGAACTTGGTCGTTCATTGTCTTGTTTTACGGGTTCCCATATATTTTTAGGTCAGGTAAACTCTGCACTGGAAGCTGAACACAACTAGTACTTGGGTACTCCATTTAGCTCGATTTTTAGTGTTTATACCATTTATGATTCTCAAATAGTACGCGTATAGTTTTCTATACGCGTATTGTTCTGAAATTTTGTATTTTAATTTTATTATGTTGATGAATAAAGACGATTATATTATTATTATAAATTTCGAGAATCGTTTCATTTTTGTTTCTAGGGTACTACTGGAAATAGAAGTAAAAGCCCTTTAAAATTATGTGCTACTTGATGAACAATGGCAGTTAAGGCATTACCAGCCATTACCTTGAAACTTTCCCTTTCAGAAACCAAATTGATCTTCCCTTCAGATTTTTTATACTATTTCCTGGAAGGAAGATATCGAGAAAAAGAAGTTTTCAAAGTGACACCATGTATATTCTTTTCAATAAAGCGGCTTTCTAATGCAATTTCAAGTTCATCAAAAGTTGGGAGTACATTGTTGGTACTTCAAATTTATCAGACATTCTACACTGTTCCCAACAAAGTTCCAATAATTATTCCAAAAAAAGTTGACTGATCAACTTTTTATTGAGATCTGAATGTTAGAAGTTTGTTCCCAAACTAAATTTGGTATTGAAGCACGTAGCTCCCGATTGAGAAAATATTGTGATCTCACTGTACCAGCGAAAAAAATTCAGTTTTCTTAGAATAAATGACAATATGAATAGTTTTGATTTATATATCGTAATATAAAACAGGCGCATTCAAGAGTTGGATAGTGATACTGAGCTAGTTATTTTTTCTGCAAAATATTTCTATTCATGAATCAAATTCCTGAGGTTGACATTTGAGTAAGTAAATAAATTCAATTTTGCAGTTGAACGACTGGTTTCCTCGATAAGTAGAATATGAAACCTCTAACACGAAATAAAACTACCGAAAAAACTTTTACCACACCAGAAAAAAAATACTCTCTCCACGCACATTCCGCTAACCAAGTTAGCACCAGTCTGAGTCAACTCCTGATGATGCTAACTTGGTTGGCGAAACGCTCGTCGAAAGACAGTATTTTTGTTCTGGTGTGGGAAAAGTGTTTTCAATAGATTGATTTCCTGTAAAATCGTTATTACCCTAATGTTTTTGCTCTTCATTTGAAAATGATATTGGTTGTTAATAAGTCACAGTCTAGAAATATTTGACTTGAAGATATGAAAAATCAGAATATTTAGAAATTTTAGGTTCGCAAGTTTGTTTTTTTGAAAAAGGAGCTGAACGACCTATAAAACGACGTATTATCACTCAAACCCCACTGCCTTTTAAGATTTTAGAAGTTGTGTCTACACCTGCTAGAGGGTTGATGATCCTTAAAAATAAGTTCTATGGATTTTTGCATATTTTCAAATTTTCTATAGATTTAGAAAGTGATAAGTTTTCAAATTGACATCCTTTATGGTGCATACCTTTTCACCGATGGGAAAAACACCGACGATTCGGATGTGACGTTAGCTTGTCGCGCTTTTTAAGAAAACAAATAATAGCCATTATGAAATACTGAAAGCAGTCATTTGGTACTTCGGCTTGTCGAAATCTGCTTATTATATTGTTCCCCTTATTCTGGAACCATTTCATACAAAATGAAAAAAGTTCTACCGCTCTTGATAATGATTAGCTACTTTTTTGCACTTCCTTAAGTTATTTCCAAATCGCCAGACTTTTGAAATGCTCACTTTACAGCATGTCAATAACTTATTATATTCTAATCTTAGGCGCTCGAGTATTTTTGGCCATCGATTTTTTACTATTATGATCGGCTGCCGTACACGCGTACCCAAAGATATGGTAACGGTACTCAGTAGGGTGCAAGATTTGCCCCATATTTTAATTTGTCGCGCTTGACTAAATCCCCAAAGTCCCCTATTGGGCTCCCCTATTGCTATAACGTGTATGCTGTTTCTCACAATTCATAATATAAAGCTAGAAACATTGTCGAGTTGGTTCTCAAAACAGAGCGGATCATCGTCATTGTCTTCTTTACAATCAATCATAACTCAAAAAGTTCATAGGATCCGTATTTTCCTTAAAATTAATTTTTGTAGCTTCAACTGACATTTAAGATATTAAGGCAAAATTGACCACGACAATGGCCTCAAGTTGAGGAACACATCCATGAACCAAACTATATGACTAGTGAGATTCTGTGAAGATGTACTTTGTCCTTTATTCGAACTAAATACATGTATACCTGTGAAATTTCTAGGGATTTCCATACTTTCTTCTTAGACCGGAAGCAACACCTTTCGGCGAGTTAAATGTTTTGGCACTGCAATTTTTTTTATTGCGTGTCAGATTCAATATCACAATTTTCTAAGAAATGTTCGAAGTAAAAAATGTTGGAGCTTCAACATCAATGTTCACAACTATATTCAGTTGCAATACCAATTACACAGCGTAGATACATCTAATAGCAGGGGAGCCAACGATGCAAAATGGGGATTTACTCGAGCGTCATTGAGACATATTAGGTTGCAAAGTTTAGACTATAAGAAGAAAAAAATGTTATACAATATATACCTTTTCATCGGTGGGGGAAGCGGCTATAGATTTTTAAATATGTAAAAAAATACTGTTGTATGGACATACTCGAGTGCGTCAGATATTGATAGCATCAATGTCCTACGTATTTTTAATAATGTTGGTATGTTAATCTGATCGTTTGCATGATGTGGGTGGTTGTACGTAAGGGTTAAAAGTGAAAAGAACAAAATTTAATCGAGCGCGTCAGATTTTCTATGGGGGTGTTAAGTGCAACAAAAAAAAGCTCTCATTCAATAAATCTGACGATTTCGATCTGACGCAAACTTGCGGCCATTATAATGTGCAAAAAAAATCGCCATTTTAAAATACTCAAGCGCGTCAGATTAAGATATATATGGTTCATCTTTATGTTTTAGACGTATTGTCTCATAATCTGACGATTATCTAGAGGGATTCGCTTAATCTGACAAAAACAATATAAAAAAAATTCAATTCATTGATTTTAATTGATTGAAAAGCTCAGGAAATAGAATGCAAATGAATAAGTGTATGTTTTTTAAGTAGAATACTTGTATTTATAAGAAAATAATTTTTAAAAAATGCTCAAAAAAATTAAATTTTTTATAATCAATTGATTAATTAATCATCATCTTCATCACGAACGAGTCTCTGTGATCAGCTGTGATGGCGTCATGGCAACAGAATTCAGAGTGGGGACGGAGTGAGAGAGTGATAGATAGAGAAAAAGTGAATAGAGAATAGAGGAATAGAAACTCGGAGAGGGAAATATAGGTATCACACAGCTGCACGCATTAAACTTTATCGACGAATTTTTGTTATTTCGGCTTGCAGAAATCGTCAGATTATATATTTTTTGTTATCCTTGAATTATTTAGTTAGTTACGCTCGAGAATGTCGAAATAACGTTATTTTTTTACAAATTTGCTGTCCTCCCCTTTCTTTACGTCACTCTCAAATTGTCAGATTACTGGAATAAACACTTTTTAGCAGGTAATTAACTAACCATTCCTTAATCTGATGCGCTCGAGAATTTCTGATAATCATTTTTTTTTACTAATCTGATCCTTTATCCCTCACAGGCGGCCTTATATATGGGGCTCATATTTGGTGGAGGTACTTAACAAGGTATGCCCCTGTATATTAATCTGCCGCGCTTTAGTAAATCCCGAAATCCCCGCTTGGGATCCCCTATTATGAATGAGTTTCACAACAATTTAATATTAACAATTTTCCCTTCAAATTTTATGAGTCTATAAGTTATATCTAAACATTGCCTCAAACCATTTAAAAATCATGGTAATTAGACAATTTCAAAGATGGGAATAGTGTGATGGTTCCTAAAATATCACCTTTCTTTTCTAGTTTTTCGCGTGACTTAACACATGATACAATTATTAATTTGATATTGTTTTCTGCTGAAACGTGAATGCCAAGATCATCTTTCTCGAGCTTCTTGCAACGCGCCTCCACAGCTTTGATAACTTTGTAATTGGTTGGGAATGTTTCTCCTGAATGGAAACTCAATTTCGGAACAATTTATTTGGACTATCAGAAACTTTCCGAGACAAAGATTAGAGTAATATCGCATTTTTTTATAAGGAGATGCACAAGCACTGCAGGTAAATAGTTCGGAGAATGCTGCTTGTGTAAGTTATATTAATTTCGTAAAACGATGTAGTGAAGTTTATTTCACGAGGATGATGGTGTTCAAATAAAATAATTTTTGAAAATTTTAGTTCGAGATATATTGAGTTGAACTCGAGCGACGGACAGAAAAAATTTGCGGTGTACTTCTGACATATACTGTTCTCGGTGGATTCGAGCGGACTGTTACTTCATACGAAAGTAGGGACAAATCTCCAACTTTGAACTATCCAGGTTGTTTGCTCCATGTGCGTCCAATTAGACGAAATGGTTCATTTTTGTATAAAACCTAGCAGCCTCAGGGTATGCTATATGTGAGCAATTTCCAAAGATTTGATTGGGCTTTATAAAGCAATAAAAGTTGTTGAAATGTGTTCAACTTTCTAGTTCGAAATATCATTCCAACTTTCTGAGAAGCTAACTTTGCTATTGCGGTATAGTAATTATGTCATGACATATTGTGTCCAACTTGACACCCAACAAATTAACGTCGCAGCTAATGCACCCAATGCCACCCAATGCCATGACATCATGATGTCCGTCTTTTATTATTAGAGAAAACAGATGGCTGGCTTTTCGTTGAAATCTGTCATCCCAAGCTGAATTTTTTTTCCAGATTATTTGTAAAATATAAAAGCTGTTGCTGTTGCTGGAGATGACTATTGGCAGCTGATGTTCGGGCATCAAAAAAAAATATATTCGAAGAAAAGAGAATAAAAACTTTCTATATGTATTTTACCACTTTAATTTGTAACTAACGCTACTGCAGTTTCGTCCTATAAGGACATTTTCAAACTTATCCATTAAAGTTCAAAGTATGACTGAAAATGCCCTTATAGGATGGAACTGCTGTACCATTAGTTACAAATAAAAAAATAGAAAAAAACATAGAAAGTTTCAATTTGCTTTTCTTCATTATGATATCCTACCACTTAGTAATGGCTACATCCATCAATTTATTACAAATTATTAACCTGCCCCACGAATCAGTCTTTCCACCTAATGCATTTAACGCTCTTAGGTATTTGTTGAATGAATCAAACAAGTTTCTTAATTTTACATGAGATTCCTTTATTAAATTTTGATTCCCAAATATATACCGAATGTAATTATGTATAATCAAATTTTCATTTTCAAGTAGGTTGAATAAAGACTTGCTATTTTACAATATCAACAATGTATTCAAAAAACACTTTATTGACAGATTTTCACTTAATAATTTCACAAAACGCAACATGTGTTTCGCCATACAATGGCTTCTTCGGGCGTGTCTTAATAACTCATTCTACACATTCAATGCTATATATACCTTATTCTACAATTTGAAGTACCT